AGACACCCTTCAAATCAGGAAAACACCCTGGCGCGGCGTGACGAAACAGCCTCCTGCCGTCCCTCTGCCCGGGCCAAACGTCACTCCTGAACCGAATGAAAAAATCAAGGGTCTGGCAGGCAATTGTTCCAGGCACACAAGCCAAGCCACAAGACACCCTTCGAATCAGGAAAACACCCTGGCACGGCGTGACGAAACAGCCTCCTGCCGTCCCTCTGCCGCCAAACGCCACTCCTGAACGGAATAAAAAAATCAAGGTTCTGGCAGGAATTCCACTGTTGGGGCACAGAGCTCCATTGTTCCAGGCATGCACCGAGCACCAAAGACACTTCGAGCTGGGATCTCGGCAGGCAATTCCACTGTTGCAGGGGCACAGAAACCTGTGCACCGAGCACCAAAAACACTTCGGGGTGGGATTTCTAGATAAAGAAGCAGTAGCACACCTTATGGCCACAATTGATACAACCTTGCAGCCGAAAAAATGCAAGTAATATGTATGAACGTGTTGCCTTCAGTGCTTTGGTTGAAGCCTTCCAGCCTTCGGTCGAGCTCCAACTGCGGGGGTTTTGCATCGCCCACCCATTTGAACCACACCGTGTTTACCATAGATGACCCATTTTCAGAAGATATCTTGACACCTAACAGCGCTCTGGTGGACCCACGTGTTTCTTTTTCCCCGACAGCGCCATGGGTCTGACAGTCTGACATTGACCTCGACTGGTTGGAAGCATCCCCTCATTAGTTGGACATCACGACATGGATCTTCAGATCGTCAAACATTCTGTAGTCTCAACATGAGGATGCCGATGGTTACGTAGATATGAACAACTCTCAACATGAGGAGGACATAGCAGAAGTCCCAAGGTTCCCAGGTTCTCCGTTTCGCTAAAGTAGATAGACAAAAAAATTCAGGCTTCATGTTCCTTCTCGGTTTCTGAAAAGAGACCTGTAACATTCAACATCCCGGTGACCCCACAACTTCTTCTCTGATTGGTCTGAACTCTTGGCGCACGGTGGTCACCGGTGTGGTTGGAGAAGCGCAGAGCTACCAGAGCTATCGGGTTTGATGATTTCCTCCGATCGCAGGTCGCTTTGCTGCACCATGGGAGGGACACAAATCTGTCGGCAGTGAAAGCCAGGCCCGCGATCCCACTTTTGATTGGACTGGAACTGGACGAGATTGGATGTGTAATCAATAGTGCTAACACTGAGAACCCATCAATTTAGGCATGCAGGCACCCTGGCAGTGGTTGGGTATGGTCGGAGAAGCACACTAGACCGGACCGGGTGTGATCTTGAAGAAGCAACCCAGTCAAGGTACCAACAACTCTTCAAAGAGCGCTTGGATCCCTTGGGGAGACCTGTCCCGCTGGCAGCCCAGTGGAGTCGAGCCCAAAATTCGTCGAGTCCTCGAGCCCAATCAGATCTTTGCTGGACGTTGATGGCAAGAGCGAGTTTATCAACGTCCTCTTGCCATATTTCTGGCCATTAAACACAATCTTTCTTTTTTGTGCAACAAAGGTATCCGGGTGGCGAGTTTATCGATGCTTTTTGTGTTGAACTAAGGTACAGGACATTTCGCAAGTACGTGGTCCAGGCGTTTTGTGGGAGGGTACTTCAATAGTGGCAAACCTGCATGCAATATGAGTCTCATGGTTTCGTTCTGGCAAGACTTGTGGAGTGTGGAGTGTGCCTTTGCCGCAGGTTCTGAATGGACTCGACCCAGATCCAGCAGCACAGGCGTTCTCCTGTTGGAGTCATAAGGAAACAGATGAAACAGGTCATCTTATTGGTAGAGGTTATCCTTTGAAAGCCGTCAGCTGATCTCACTGGTAGAGACTGCTTGGATTTTCACTGACAGGAGATGATGTTGGAACAATTTGTGGTGGAGGCCGAAATACGTACACACACACACACACTGTCACTGACCACTTCGCAACAGCAGCCAGAGCACTTAGAAACGCAGCTAGGAATCGCAAAAACAGAACGCTCAGAAACGTCTTCCACCCCCAACGCCAGTCGCGTGTTCCTTGGAGATCACTGTTGTCATCAGGCCAAGTCAGCTCGGGCCGTTTTTCACGTGCCCTCGTTCGCCAGCAACGCCGACAAGGCCATGACACACGACGATCGTTGGACTGGAGCCCCGTTCGTAGCGTCCTTGCTCCTAGTAGTAAGGCCAGGAGCCCCTAGTAGCGTTCTTGTTCCTAGTAGCGATGCCGTTTGTTCCTAGTAGCCTTGTTCCTCTTGCGGAGAAATCCAACATAGATCCATACATTCTGGATCAATGTAGCCATGTTTCGCAATGGAGGCCCCTTCACAGTCTGACATGCGTGTTATTATACATAGTATGTTATGTTATTGACATAATTTCATACATAACCAAGTAAAGTATGTTATATTTGATATTATATTATGTATATACCTCTGACAATGGCTCACTGCAGCCTTGCACGTCGGTTCTTAGAAGGGTTGATTATATAATCTCGATATATATATATATATTATATATATATATATTTGATTCAACTTGCACTTCTCGCACTTCATTTGTCCACAACGGCCTTTCAGATTGAGAGGCATTCCTACCGCACTTGTCCCACGCGAACTCTTTTCCAAGGACTGATGGTCTCATCCAGTTCCGTGCGCATAGATGAGTTTTCTCTTGTTGGGCTTTGGTGGACCGTTTCATTTCGCTTGCTGCCATCAGGACTCCCGACAAGGAGACTGCACAAGAGGCAGCAGATCTTCGTTTGCAGAAAGTGCTGGCCCTACCCTGCGTATACCACGAGTTCTTACTTCATAGCTGCCGTAGCTGATTTAGGATACTTTAGGAAGATTTGGATTGGATGGATTCTTTTTTTATAGTTGACTGAGGCCTGTCTGAACTGCTCTTGTTTAATTTAATTACAGATTGTTTTGATAGTCAATAGATTGTAGCACCAAGCCACACTCCAAGGCAGCTATGGGTGGTGCCTGAAGGGCAACTTCATTTGCACATGCTGGTAAATTGATTGTACATCGCTAACGACGGAAATCGTTTGGACCTTGAGATGTCCAAAAGTGATCTTAAGGAATTTGGCGATTCCGAAATTCGCTTGCAGAGAGACTGCCGTGGACTGCCATGCAGTCACTAATCACGCAGCCTTGCACAGTAGGGTTGACTGGTCAGGTGACAAACCAAATCAGGACTCACTAGGTGTACCCACTTCAAGACGCCTGTCGGCAAGAGGTCTTTGCCAGTCGAATAATTCGTCTATTCTAGCCATGTATAGTCTATGATTCTTCACAAGCTGCCTGATGGATACAAATTCTGCAAAACGGCTACTGTGATTTCGTTTGGAGAGGCGGGTGGGCAGACAAAGGCTGAACCACTTTCACCATTGTAATCTTGGTAGCTACACCTGACAGACCATCAGCCCCACAGTTCCATTCAATGTTGTTGTGTCATGGAGGCAGGCGGGCAGGATGTTCATCAACCGGACTTTTGTGGGTTGTGATGCCGGATGAATGTTAAAGAAGGAGCACGAGGGTATAATTGATACGATCCTCACATAATCCTCACATAATCTTCACAAAGGCGGTGCAGGATTTCTTCCGTCCGGGCCCCTGAATACTCAAAAGAGCTGACTCGCAGGCACGCTTCCGATCAGCCTTGAAAGCTGACAAGCTGCTTGGCTTTGTTTATGCAACCAGTTCTAAGGGTGGGAGTGGTTATATACAATATAATATGTGGTTCGATTCTTTTTTGATTATTTTCTTTGTCTTTGTTGTGGTGGTTGTTGTTGTTGTACCATCTTTAATATGTTTCTTGGTCCTTCCTTTATTTCCTTTGACTCATGACTTTGTGCTTGGTTCCTACAGTTGGTTTCCCTCCTGCTTCATCTTCTGATCTATTGGAGCAGCTCTGTTCTTTTCAGGGTCTTCTTAAGAAGGCCACGTGATCACCTAGGAGGCAAGAACATCAGGGTCTGCCTCGCAAAGTGAGTCTTTCCGGTAAGGATCACTACAGGGCCTACAGGGTGCTTTCTTTTCCATCCGTGCTCGCCCTCAAACCGCTTGCCGCGTATCACCAATGAAACATTGGCTAATGCTAATGATAAAATGGTGCAGTGAGACTGATTAAACAATATATACATACAAGTAATGCTAAATATCCCAAACAATTATCAGCCTTCTATCGTAAATATTTAGACCATTATACGATCGATGATGTGTCCAGCCACTTCAGCGCGAGGTTTGGCACAGAGCTGAATGCCTGGATCACCGCAGTTCGCGGCCAGAGTGGAGCGAAATGCACGACAAGTGTTGAGATTGATCAACCGAAATCATCAAGCTATTACTGTAATTTTCTTGCAGCTTCATAAGTTGAAGCATTCAATGAGCGCCATGTTCATGTTCTTCACAACGTTCTTCACTTATCAAACCTCTGAGGCCTTTTTTCCTTTCATGGTGGGCAAGTGTGAGGCCGGAGAGAGGGGAGGCATCGCCACGGTCCCATAGACGCATGGCCGCATGTTTTCATCCGGACGTGCGGGTGGCACCTTGGAGCGACCAAAGAGGAAGTGCCAGATATTGGGGGTTCTAAAGCTTCGTTGGAAGTGACCAGAAGCCTCGTTCCCTTGACCGTGTGAAAAAATCACATGTTTCAAGTATGTAATGTTTAACATTGTACTACTTAGCTGGCAATCTATGGGAATTTGATCAATCCATACTGTCTGACAAACATGGCCCAAAATTGAAGCATGAGATGGTCAGTCTGCGCGGTTCTACGCCGTCTCTGCAGGTGGAAGCGAGAAGTCAAGAGGACGGGGATGTTGGGCGACGTGGAACCGGCCATATGGAGCATCCGCCAAAAAGCCACCACTGTTGGAACGCTTGGGGTGTGAAATTATACCATGAAATCATATGACATCTCTACACACATCTCCAACCTTCGGCAATCCAGGGTTTTTACTCAAAAGGGTCTCAAGGAATGTCCTGGCTACAATAATTTTGCATATACAGGGGCTTTGTCCAGTCGCAGCCCTCGTGGTCTGGAAGTTTTTAGAGTATAAAATAAAGTTGCCATGCCATGCTGTGCCAGAGCATGTCAGGATCTTGCACAAATACCAGAGGGAGAGGCCAGTGCTTTTTCAGGATTCTGTGGCAAACAGGATTCGTTGATTTACCCAACTCAACAATGCCCTGAAACAGATCTTCATGGCATACAACGGCGTGCGAGGCCAATCACAGCAGCGCAACACACACAAAGTACAACGCCTAAATGTAACTCGGTAAACATCTTGAGACTCAAAAACAAACTGGGTAGAGACGGCTAGCGGCTCGCAGGCTTGGAATTGTGCGGTGAAGATCGAAAAGTGCCGATGGTTGGAAAAGAGACTTGGCACAAGTTTCTGACTTTCCGCTGCTTTACCTGATATATCAGCAATTATCAGCAGGTACTGAAGCAAGTCAGACCCAGCAGTCGCTCTCCCTGTTAGAGTTTGTTTTGCAGCCAGTTGGAACGAACCCATGCATTCAACCCATGCCTTTGTAATGTTTATGCCAGCATTCTAGGATCAAGCGTTGGTTTGCTTTTCGTGCACTAGGTCCAGCAATAAGGAAAACATATATAGACACTCTGGTCTATGACGTGAGTCCTGCATCCTTCCTGGACCTCAACAGACAATCAGGGACTACCGCTACGGTAGTCACTGGTCTCACCTCACCAACGCCTTGGGGGAGCGGCGCCTCACCGACTCGTGCCCCAAAAGGGAAAAGGCTTCCGCCCGGTGCCTCTCAGGAGTGGATGTGTGGGCATGTGCCGGTCTCTCAAAAGCTTTGGGTGGCCATGAAGCGGGCAGACCTTCAGAAAGCTCGTGCAAACAAACACCCACGATTCGTGCAGATACTGGAAAGGTGCAGACATTCGTCTAACAACCATGTTATCTATGTTATTTGCCATGTTATCTATGCCATGTTCAGATCTCGGGCGACGATCATGTTGCGAGGCGTCGAGCGTCGACCATGTTAGCTCCTTTTATTCCTCGCGCTATATCAGGTGTTGGTTTGTGCAAGCGGCCTATGCAACGAATGTTTGGCGAGGCGGTGAAAAGAAAGCTTCATGATCGAATGCACTCTGCCTCAAAGCAGCCACAGCGCCACGACTGACACTTCTTGTTTGTGCATGTTTTGGTGGCCACTGACTGACACGGAACAGGTTTTGGGCATGCCGCTGTCCATGGAGCCGAACATGGAGGATCTTGCAAAGCGCTTTGCAATCTTGTTTTGCAAACTTCCTGCCTTCGGTTGTATGAACACTTGCTACATTGCCTTGCTTTGTCAGCATGAAGGACTTCAGTTGCACCATGGTCTTCGGCAAGAAGCCCGTGGAATGGCAACAGGAGAGTTGAATGGGGATATTTATATATGATTACTGTATATAGCTTGGACAAGCTCAGCTTATCTCAACCAACAGTTGTTTTTAATAGTGGACAGTCCAAGTCCAAGTAAATCTTCTTCTATGATAATCCATGTCAGGCCAATCACAGGTCGTGGGAGAAAGAGTTCCCACTGATCAATCTCAATCCACTCACTATCAACACTTATAGTAGTGCAGGACGACCTCCGAGATCAGCCTTGCTTCAGCACATGTGCCACTGCTAGGCCTGGATGGGCGTGTATTTAGATGTGTGTTGCTGCTGCATATCATGGGAGTTGCGGTCAAGACCACCTGTGAGTCTCTTGTGGACGTTGACCATGAGGAATCTCAGCAAGCATACAGGAGTTCCATGGATTTCCTGAAGTTGACGTCCTTTTGCGGGAATCGCACACGGGCATCCCTGATGTCTTTGACTTTTCGACATGTGGCAGGTCGCAAGGCGCCTGTCCGAAATTGACTTGACAAAAGAGTCACAAAAGAGCCGATCAGATGCGGATGCCGATGATCAGGACCCTTTTCAAAGAATGACTGAGAAGGGAAGACGGGCTAGATGGGCTAGATGAACAAAATTCAGTGGTTCTTTCTAATCCACAGCCACTTAAGAATGGCTGAGACTATTGCACAATTCCCCCAGTTGATATGTCAAATCATTCCCCTACAGTTGGTTACAAGTATCACGCTATTGTACTCATATCATGAACCTTAATTCCTGTACAGTGCACGTTTGGTTCAGTAGTGATTGTGTGATAACATATATGTCAATGACAGGCCATGGAACAAAAGCAAGGTATTTTCCCTATTTCCATAGCAATTTTTGGGCAGTCTGAAGATGTGTTTGTTGGCCATTAAGACACATGATTATATACAGTACCAAACAATTCATATTGTGACTGCACGTTCTTCCCTGAATCAAAAGCATCTTCCGCATACTGGATTTAGTACATCCTAGTATCCATACCTGTTCGGAAGGTGGCGACAGCAGTAGCGCCTAGCGCCTCCATCCGCTGTTCTTCACGGCTCAAGAACGCGAGCCCGACAGCGCTCCACTGGGCACGAGAGCCCTGCGCCTCGGCCCGGCTAGCGCGGCCTTCCCTGATGGGTTGTGCCTCCTCTGCAGCGCTACCTCGGGAACCTCCGCAGGCGGCAGACGATTTGGAACGCAGTGGATCGGATGTTAGATGTTAGATGTGGATCACAGCAGGTGAAACTGAACTGCTAACATGAGTCGATGCAATCTTTTCAGGAACTTGCTCTAGCAAGTTATTGGCTGAGGGATGGAATCGGCTACACAGTGAAGTATCCACTGCTAGACCCACCCCTCCGCGGGTTCAACTTTCCCCTTGGACATAATAAGTCTCAATATATGCATGGTAGCTTACTTTCGTCACCAATCCCAGGCAAGTCTAAATAGGATTCATACCTTTTTTTTGTGGTGCCTGTCATATCTCTCTTTTCCACACCACTTCTCTGGGGTCGCGTTTTCTTGATGTTATTTTTCTGCACTCACCAATGGTTTTGATTTTTTCATCTCGGATTTCCACGGGGGGCCCTTCCGTTTGAGAGGTTTCCTTGATAACGTGTTACTGTAATGATTCGAATTGTTGTTAGTCTGTTAAACGTGTAATGATTTGCGGACCCCCACAGATGAGGCTGCTTTGAAGAGCAGGCTTTGTCGGGGTCATATTTAATGGGTATCAGGGGTGTGTGAACGCTCAAGGTATGGTTACTCTTTTGCACAAAGGCCCCTTCGGCCCTTGGTTCGTACAAGTTGATTTCCAGGGTTCCTGACATTCGAACTTGCTTGAGCTTGCTTGAAGACGACTTCGCCCATCAGGTGGCTCCGCCGAGCCCACCATACATTCCGACAGATCAGAAGCTTCTTGGTGAAGACAGTAAAAGCTGGCAGCAGCACAGCTGTTCAGCAAGATGGTGGTCCACACCCAGATCAACCAGTGGAAAAAGATAATTATTCTCAAGCTTGGAGGTCATGGAAGTTGAAGGAATGTAGATTACTCGGCATGCTCAACTTGAGCGCTTGAGTTGTAGCTTGGAAAAGCAGAATTTCTTTAGTACTGAGCCAGAAAATAGCATGACCATGCCCAATTCTGCTGATTGCAGTCTAGTCATTTACAGTTATAGTTCTCCAAACTCTCTTTGAGCCTACAGGAGTCAAAAGTCATAAAAGACAAACCAACAAAATATGTATATATATATATATGTGTAATTAGTTGCCATCGTCGCTGCTGGGCGCCTGTTGTTTTTTGGCATGAAGTGGCGCCCCAGACCGCGTTGTACGCACACGGCGCCAGGGCGTGGGACAAGGCCGCTGCAAAATTGAAAATCAAGTGCTTCCATTGTGCGCATCAGAAAAGAGCACAGTGTGTGGCAATGGGTGTTTCGACGTGAGAAGTTGCGTGGAACACCGGCGGAGAACGTGAAAGCGCTCTCCAAAGTGCGGAACACAAAGTAGTTTTCGAAAGTGCCAAAAACAAGGTGCGCATGTGAACGCCGCAGCCTGAGGGGGTGAACGACTGCAACCCCGAAACGACCAGGCGCCTGGTGGCGTCCTTCCCAACTAGTGCTATATATATATACATATATAACATATATTTATTTATGTTTTTTTTTTTAAATAACATCGTATTTGTGCATTCCAGGACTCTTCTTTTTACGACCTTTGACCTTTGGAGGTTCTTTTTTCACCCACGCCCCCGCCACGCCCAGTCCACAGAGCGCCCAGTCCGCAGGGCCTCAGCCGTGGCTTGGCATCGAGTGGATCAAAGTCATGGCGTGCAAAGAACATCTTTTGAATGAAATCCGAGTCACTTTGGAACTGCTTTTCATTGCTTTTCCATTCGTCCATGGTAGTTTGGCGTGAGAACGATCAACGATCATTCGGACCTTTCTCACATCTTTGCGCTGAGGAGCGCCAGGGAAGGAGGTGCACTGAAGACTGCACCCTTGGTGCGGAGCTTGGTGTCGCTGCGAAGGGACACCTGCTCTGTGGCGACCTGGCTGCAGCTGTCGCAAGGCTGTTGCAGGGGGAAAATGCAACGGTTTGCGGGCAAAAACGGGCGTTCGTGGGGCTGCGTACCCACATGGTGGTTTCATATGGGTGTGTTTTGATAGGGAGACCCTTTGCCCCAATGGGTTTTGGTCTATTCTCCCTGTTTGGGGTCGTTCCCTGGGAGGTTTCCCTGTTTGAGCTACACACTCCCATAATTTCCTACCAAAAAGTTTTCCGATTTGAGACGCCGTGAGCTTGTGAAAAACGCCGTGAGCTTCTGAGGTTCAAGAAGACTCAGGACTCGATTTTCGCTTCACCACCGCAGTGCTGCATGGCATGCGGCCTTTGTTTGACTAATTAGAAACCATTCTTGGGCATGCCATTGCCATGTGGAGTGCCAGCAAATGCCATTTCCCATTCCTTGGAGGACAGTGGTTTCTCAAATTTGAGTTTGGGTCGCTGGCGACCGGCACTGCGACTGCTTCCTTTCTGGCCACTGTCGAGGAGGCCACTGTATTGAGAGGTTCCTGTTCTTGTGGATTTTACTTTCGGAAACTTTGATCAACTCCCAGGAGAATCTACTCACCATCTACTCATTTCGGAAACCACTCAGGCGGAACATCCCGCCTCCGTGCCAACGCCCTCAGCGTCGTCCGGCTCCCAGCGAGTTCTCAGATAGGTATTTGGTTTCTATGCATTTTTATGCTTTTGGTTCTGGTTGAGACTCTGCAGTACTTGTAATTACATGACATATGAATACATATGATCATATATGATCCCACATCAAGTGATAGAAGCCCAATTTCAAGGGTTTTGTTGTCTTCTAGTTTGACACAAGGCACACCGCGACATACCCGACACTGCGAGGTCTACGGCCTCACTGCGCTTTGCAGCGGAGCGCCGGCAATCCGGGTGTCTGGGCTCGATCTCGAATGGGGAGGGAAGGACTCTGGAAGGACCTCCCAAGAAGAAAGAAACCTTAGGCCGCCTTAGGCCTTGCGATCCAGCCACCACACCGACTCTTCCTTGCGAGTTGCATTCATCCATCTTTCTCCTTCTGAACCACATCATGAGTGAAGAAGAGACTGTCTGGGCAAGTGTGGTGAAACCTTGCGCCAGAAAAACAACTTACCACAGTGAAAAGACAGAGCGATTCTGAGGGATGCTCGCTAATGGGAAGAACCTGCAACAATAAGCAGAGCAACATTAGGGAAAACATATTGAACAGAATCTGTGCCAAACTAAAGAAGAGCAAAGACAAACAAAAGACTGCCAAATGGCAACCAGAGATAGAACCTTCGGCCTTTTTTTTGTGGTTCTTTTGGTGGCCGTATGTGTCACCTATGAGTTTTAGGGAGTTGTTTGTTTTGTCTTAATGACTCGTTTTCCTTCTACGGTTTGTGTTTTATCCTTACATAATAGTGTCATGATATGTTATGATTGTATCTGTTTCACCAGTATTTTATTTATGTAATTTTTTGGGTGGGGGGGCAAGGTTTCGATCAAGTGGTTTCCCACGTTCCCACACAAAAGCTAGGCCGCCGTCGGCCGAAAACGGATTTGCTCCAGGCGGCTCTTCCTGTCTGCAGACCTCCCTGAAAGTCTGCGAAGCTTCGATACGCAGGTCTGGTCTACAATCTTTGACGGGTCAGTTGGTCGAAGAAGACAGAGAGCTGCATTCTTATCGGATGATCGGACACGGACGCATGAGAGGGGCGAAAGCATGTGGAAACAGCTCGAGTTTTGGCTCAGCAGGTTGATTTGAAGGTCAAGCGGAATGGTTGGAGTTGGCTCTTGAAAGCACTCAGAAAAGACAAGATTGGCTTATCAACTCTGACATTTGAGAAGCCTCTTTGCATTGCCAGGGTGGGCATCATGTAGTGCTTGACCTGCAAGCAGATAGCGAGGACTTTCTCGCCAAGAAACGCTGACGCACAGCTCTGGAGACCCTCCAAACCAAACAGTTAAACAGGTGCTTGTTATAGTGGATTGAGAGTAGATGGCACAGACCTCAACTCAATGGGTGGTTTATATGGACCCCCCATCTAAAGGACATCTTGGGGTCTGTGCCATCTACTCTGAAACCACTGTAATTGCATCTTCTTGTTTGATGTGCATGTCAACAACCAGAAATGCAGTGATTCATTGCAGTCTCCAACTTGAGAGTCCTCTCAACTTGTTCGAATTTATGTCAAGGGAAATGGACGGATGCACAGTTTGTTTCTCCCTTGCCTTGCGAGATGATGACATTCTTCAGTTTCCCATGAATCATTGCCCTTACCTACAACCTCCGAAGGCAAAAATAAACGCCTTTGCAAAAGGCTATATAACAACAATGCCTTTTGCAAATAGACACGCCATTGGCAATTTCTGCTCAAACAAACACGCCACCACAAAAACCAGAACGCATTTTTGAGGTTTGTGCTGCAACATCCGCATTTTTTCGTAGAAAGAACGCCTTTCCGTCCTTTTTCCAAATTCCTGCAAACGTGAATCACTCATGAATGTGTTGTTCAATCATTTTTGGTACAAAACTGGTCAGTTTGGCACTTATGCCTCACAGAAAACGCTGCAATCCCCGTGCCCAAATATGCCAGTCGCAGTTTGGCCTGGCCAGGGATGTGCAACTGAAAGCGCCACACCGCCGTCAAAACAAAAACGCCTTTCGTCTTGCGACTCTCTCAAAACGTCAGATGTTCTGCCGGTGCACGGAATTTCTAGGCGCCCTTTTGAGTACAATGCTATTGATTTTTGCCATTTGGATCTTCTCTGTGGGAAGTAACACACATAGGCATGTTGAAAGTAACACACAACTGATTGTCTGTTCGTCACAAAATGTGCGATTGCTCCTGTTGATGGCACACGGCGGAGAAACACCTCTCGTCTCGCAGCTGTTCGAATCGCTTCTGGAGGACCCCTCGGCCGTGACGCGGCAGCGGAGCTTCTTGCGCCTCTCACCCGAAGGGGGCGAGGCTGGAGTGCGAAACTCGTGTTCTTAAGACAAATCGACACAAATCACACATCATTGATGGCTTCTTTAGTTGGGCACAGTCAGAAAAAACAAGGGTGATCCTTGTCCTATCCTGCGTGCAGGTGCATGTTGAGAAGCAGTGTCTCGGCTGAATCTGCGAGAATGTCTTTCGGGTCCTTCCATCGTGTGTGGCAGAACCTGCACCACCCAGGCTCGTGCAATGTGGGCCTCTCGCCTCAAAACGACCAACCGACGTGATCAGCCACCGGTCAGCTGTGCCACATCCGGATCCAAGGAACATCATTCGACCCTTGGATGCGCTCTACGGCACCCTGCCGAATCCAAGGACGAACCGGAATCCAAGCGCACCACCGGCAGGGATCGAGATCCACGAGTTTTTCCGTCGCGCGAGCGGAAGAAGACACCAGAAAAATGATGATTTATTTGAAGGATTTAATGGTCTCGATGTTATACCTGCACAGGACCCTCCACCAAACCAAACCACCATTGTTTCTCAAAAAGGGCATTCATGTGAGTTTGGTGTCAGGAGCTCCAAAGCAGCTGAGAAGGCAGATGAAGGTGCTGACGGCAAAGATTTGATCTGTCGCGTGTGGCAAAAGTGAAAAGATAAGAAGAAGTTGAAGAAGAAGAAGACGAAGACGAAGACTGTGATGACTTTTGCTTTTCGGTACAAAACGGATCAAACCGGTGGTTGACTTTCGCCTGTGGAGCCAGGCGGCGACTGTGTAATTTGTCTCTCGAATCCCCGAGAGGCTCAGCCCTTAGCCACTGCTGTGTAGAAGATGCTGCTTGTGGCACCACAACATGTCGCGCAGGTTGCCATACTGCATTGCAGCGCACTTAGTGCAGCACCTCATAGAGTGAAGAAGTGAAGATGTCGTAGTGAGGGCGTCAGCGAAAACCCATCCCCGTGTGATTTGTCGAAGGTCGGCACGTGTGCCTCTGCACCAGCTGCGCCAAAGTCACCTCATCCACGTGGTGCCTTTCTCAGTGAGGTGTGTCTGGCACACCGTCTCCAAACGGACCTATGGGTTAGTTAGGATCTACATACAGGGCACTCTGGCGAAATACTTCTCCGAGTGAAAATCGCCTGGCCCTGGAATTTCGTGCCTTGATCTCCCCAATCAATCGCATGTTCTTCTTCTCATGCAGCAAACACTATTGCAGCCAGGTCACCCAGTCTGCCGGTTCGTTCTGGTTCCCGAGGTCCTTTCAGTGTCCTGTCTGCCGGGGTCGAGTGGCTCCTCGGCAGATGTTCTGGGCGCCCGTCCGTCGTATCGTCGTGATGTCCGTCGTATCGTCGTGATGTGCTTCAGGCCGCGATGGTGGGTCTCAGAGACGACAGCATTCAACCACAACCGCCTCATGCACTCTGAGTTTCACAAAAAGCATCCAGATAGAGTCACGGTTTCGTGCTTGAAGCTATGTACTGAAAGACTGTGCGTACCACTAGAATATCAAGTTCCTTTTGCCTGACACTCCTGCGGCTGAACAACCTCGTGGAGAGCACCAGCAGTTGTGCCAGAGTTCTTTCTTTACACCCTGCAGCAGCCTTTGCACCTGGAGCTGGAAAAATGACTAGCTGAGCACTTAGCTTCCATCAACGATGCAGATGGATCCAGGACCAGGGATTGTTTGCAGGGTGGAGAAAGGCAAACCACCTCAGAAACTGTACAGGGCACGGCCTGCGTTTCGATGCCTCTTCGGCTCATGCATGCCTCTCAGTGAAGCCTGAGTTTTCGCTCTCTTTTGACAAAAGCTGTGCGATTCAGATTCGTGTTGCCTCGAAAGTTGAAATCGCAGGTTGCACAATAGCGTGTTTGCCAAATGTGATTTCCGGAGAAGACTTCGCCTCTGCATTCCGGTTCGCATTGGCCGGGCCAAGAGACATGCCTCGATCCGGCCAAGACCTGGAACTACACCCTGCAAGAGAGCACACACTGAGCATCCTTCAAGACAGATTCTGACATCCCTATTTCATTCGTGCGATTCGCATCCCTTTCGAGCTCGCTCGCGCTCAGAATGCCATGCTGGCACGGCCGGAGAGCCCAGAGAAGTGCTGTCCAGCTCGGTGCTGTGATCCAAAGACATCCAGCGGTCATGAGTAGTGAGTAGGATGGAAAACATGTTGAATGAGTAGCTCAAGCAAGTGTTATATATATATATAATGCAAACGTCGTATTAATCAACGGGCCCCCCCCTCCCCCCCCCCTAGAAGGTCAACAAGGTCTGAGATTCGAGGTTTTGGAGATCACATCCCCCTAATAGTGGGGATGACCTGATGATGAAAGGGAATTAGTATTTGGAAGAATTGGAATGAAAGGGAATTAGTATTTGGAAGAATTGAGATGAAAGGGAATTAGTATTTGGAAGAATTGGAATGAAAGGGAATTAGTAATTGGAATTGACATATATATTTAAGTAATTATATGTTTTCCTGGGGGGACAGGGGGTAGACTAATAGGGGGGGGTTCAGCCAAGCAACATTTTTATTAGAGGGTGGTGACTGTGGAAATTTATAGTTCAAATTACTGTAGTTTATTATTGGGGCCTGAACACTGGGTAGACTAATAGGGGGGGTTGCCTAATACTAGGTGCGCATTATATATAGAAGGTTGAGGTTGTAATATATCTTGTTACGATGAGTCACACATGAGGATACATTAACATCCCACACAACTGCTGATTCTTTCTCTCCAGACACCTTCATGTTTGTGGAGATCATAACCACACTCCATCCATGTGAGGGTTGGTGGAAAAGAAAGGACGAAGACCACAGAAAAAACTCTGTGGATGTCTCTTCATGCGTTGAGGCGAAAGTATGCAACAAATCCTTGCCAGGACCCTGTTTGTGGGCTTTATATAGTGTCATTATTTTCTGATAAATGCACAAGACCAGAGCTGGTACTGCATGGACACATGGATTGAGTTTTCCATTTCACTTCATTCCATCTGTCTTAGCTGTGTATTACAGCCTCATCGGTGACACGCAGGTCAGGACGATGAACATTTCTAAACAAAGCCATTTCACTTCATTCATTTTGGAGAAGAGGTTTGCGTTTCAAGAGAGACTCCGTAAGTAAGTCCTCATGATGGGGAAGATCCATTGGCTCTTGGCTTTATGATGCTTTATGCGTGTGCCTAATTGACCCAGTCACGAATATCTTGAGCGTTGTCACTCGGGCCAATCAGGACAAGTGGGGTGATGAGAAGGTGTGGACCCAGCTGTTGGACAGGGCCACTTGGACCAGTGGCGTTCAAACACACCGCAGTCGTTGGTGGATCTGAAGTGCAATTTCTTTAAAGTAGACTCTTGATCAATAGACCCCCCATATGTAGAGGTTTTTACAGTACAATGCGAATCTCAGGATTTCATTCGTCAAGAGTCTACATGATGTGGAGGTTCAACTCCATGTGCAAGAACACCCAATCGAAGTCTGTTTGTCTACAAAATTAACAGCTGATCTCATTGCATTTGTGGTTCCTTAATCGACTTGTGCTGGTTTTACGCCTGCAAGACTGGAAAGCTTGCCCCTTGTGTCTTTTTCTGGGCCACAGGCGGTGCAACATGTTAACTGTTGATGTCATGTTTCTGGTGGAAACATGTTCAACGTTTTCATGTTTACAATGTGCATGTGTCCATCCATGTTCGGTGTCCCACCTGTTCCGCGCCACCGAGGTCATGTGCTACGCAGTGGTGCCTTGGACCGAACTCGTTGGGTCCGTGGCACCGGTCACCGCGGAGATCCGGTCAGGTCAGTGTGACCTCGGTGGACGCGAAGCTCGGTGGCTTCCAGGTTCGCATGGTTTGCCGCTGGGCCTTCAGTGCCTTGGGCAAGTTGGGAGATCTGTGCGGAGGCTTTTTTGGGACAGTTGGGTACCAAAAAGGAGTTTTATTTGTTGCACTTCATAAGCCATTGGACGAGCCAGTAGCCTAGACTGAATAGATCATTATGGATCATGGATCGTAGAATAGATCAAGGAGTGAACCTTTCGGAAAAAGAGGAGGGAATATGTGTTGTTGCCTTTGCCCTTTCATATACATAATTATTAAATATCTATTATATATTATACACAAATATTAGTTCTCATTTTGTGTTCGTATTTTTCTGTGTCTCCCTACCGTTGATTCTTGGGGAGTTTCATGACTTTTCTTTTGAAGGACGTTGGGGCCGCCTTAATGATCAGCTAAGGAGAGAGCGTCAGACAGAGAGAGAGAGGACATATATGAAGAGATAGATAGATAGATAGATAGATAGCTAGATAGATAGATAGATAGATAGACAAAGAACACCACTTGTTATTTTGTTACCTACACGGAAAACGAACATAGCAACCAACAAGTAGGATAGGAAATTCATGATTCTGCTTTTCCATGTGGCTACCGGATGCTACAGCGTATTAGTGTGTCGGTCACTTGTGCTGAGGAACCAGTAATGCCTACAAAGAGACCGAGATCAGCTATCGAGGCGTGCCTGGCCTTCGGATACCTGGGCTACAGGTCACCGCGCAAGAAAGCCGGCCGCTGGGGCTCAGCAGACCGTAGACCTGAACCTGTTCATTGTTGTGCTAGCCATGATTCTGGATGATTCTTGTGCACATAGAGCTTTGGAGATACAGACCTTCATTAAACTGCAAACATACGGAATTACGATGAATTACGTATGCTTTGAAGTCAAGTCAAAGCGCCAAAAAGACATGAGCTCTTGGGTCCGGATTGATCGGATTGAGTAGAGAAGTTTCTTCTCAAGCCAAGGATTTGGAAAGATTTAAGCCAAACCACAGATGACACCATCACTTGGAATGGAACGTCCATTTTCTTGTTGGATGGCTACAAACCATACCACTTGCAGGACAGACCATTGAGACTTGATTCCTTGCCATGCCGGTTCAGCAAACATACTTCAAACATCTTCAAACTGCCCTGGCCCGGCCTGGTGAAACTTCTAGGGTGCAAGACAGAGGGTTCCTTATCCGGAGGACTTCCCCTTCGACCGTCACATCATCAGCCTGAAGCATGTGGACTTTGTGTGGCGCATTGAGAAGGATGATGATGACTTTTTCGACTCCATGCAAATTGACGCTCGGATGATGTCCTCCATGGTCCTCAATGGTCCTTGAAAGATCTTGAGGTTGGAAAGAAAGGTCGAAGCTTGGACACATAGTTGTTCTCATGGTTGATTGGGTAATTTTGATGGTGAGAAAGAGCCTAATTAGGTTTGTTCTTGGTTGAGAACAGCAAAAGGGACGGGAACATACCAACCAAGTCCTGTCGATGCAAAATTGTCGCCCTTTCACAACCAAAGAAGTTCGCATTCCATTCGACTACATGATGCGAGTCATTGTGCCAACTCTGCTTTGCATTTGCGGCATCACCGGTTCATCGTTTTGTTTCCACTTCCATCATCTTCCATCAAATCGAACAGTTTTCTTATGTTTTATTATGTGTTGTTTTTACTTTTAGGTTGGCTCATCCCAGGAAATAGCACCCAGCTGTCCTGTCCTTTGACAATTTGACTACGAGAGAACAACACAGAGATGTTCACACTAAAAAGCATGCACGTCGGCAGATTCGGTTCTGAGGTTTGGCTGACTGTAGAGTCCAAATCCATCTTGCCTGAATGGAGCCTTGCCTCAAGAATGATGACAGACTCGTTTGACCCATGACAGATTTGTGTGTCTCCTGACTCATGCCCATGCTAACTGATGCTGTTTTCATGGGTGACACACGCACAACGCAGAGCCACGCAGCGGGTGGTCATTCCAGGAATGCTGGCGAGTCTGATATCATGGCCATCCAATCGGTGATTGAGACGCTGGACGACCAGACCACCGAAGTTTGTAGCAAGCAGCAGCCTCAATGTGAATCGGGACAAAATGCTGTTTGTTTGCTGCTTCAGCTTATCGAACTGTGCTTCTTTGGAGAACTGTTTGATGATGCAATTTGAGCCTCGGATCAGGTTTGTGATTGATTTGCGGATAGAGAGGGCCCACAAATTCTATGTGCGGCAGATCTTCTTCATAACTTGCTTGATGCTTTGCAGCAGTTCCATCCACATAGCCCTGATACCAAGCCACCACGAGCTATTTTGGGCCCAGGATCACTGTGGCGTCATGCACACCTCTTGCCATGCCTTTGGAGGATATGGGAGATAGGTGGAAATGCGCCGTTAGTTCATTAACAGCCAGAAAAAGATGCAACATGGAACTGTCAACAAGGCTCAAAAGCTCTTCTTGTATCATCTACGTGCGCACGTCTTTGGGCGTTTTTGTTTTAGCCTCCCGTGGCTGGGAGGCTCAGTGTCTACGGTGGTGGCCTTCTCACTCTGGTGGCTTTCAAGTATGGGGTCATGGATCATCTCCCAAGCGTGCCGTACCCCACGTTTACCGATTCCTTCCTGCCGCTTGGAGGCAGGTAAAGGGTGCTGGCTGCAAGTCGCGAGGATCGTTTTGAATCATTAGTCGGAATCGGAGTGCTCGTCCGACAAAAAATAGACGTAACATAATACAATATATTTTTGTGTAAACAAAAACACAGGCGCTTCTGCTGGAACACGTCAGTGCTAGGCAGTGGGTGCTCGAGATTTGTTGATTGCATTTGGCGAGTTCTTAGGATGTGGCAGATTATCACCATCGTTCTAAGCACCTTCGAGTCACTCTTTCTTTGGCGCTTGAGCAAGCAGTATCCGGTGCGCTGGCACATGACTTGCATGACCTTCACTGAGTTCATCAGAGTCCGTGACCAGAGACGAGCGGTCCGTCGGAGACGTCTCAGACGTATTGAGGTGACTGTGGACTGGGTAGAGAATGGCACATTCTTTGGTGCTTCCTGGTGGCAGAGATCTCAAAACCGGAACCACCGGAACCACCGTGATTGGACACTTCTCCCAGAGTTGGTGCTCTGAGCTCAAGCTCGGGTCTCCACCAAGCAAGAGTCCTGTTCCGAAAAGGAACCCGAAATGGTTACCGTTGTGGAAAGTGCGTGGAACACGCAGCCAAACCAAGCCCATGTGAAATCTTCAGAATCCACGTTCCTGTCTTGCTGTTTTTGTTCTGGAAGATCCGGAATCAGGTTGCCGCCGGCTGGTCTTTGGTCTTCATGATTGTGGCTTGTTGCAAGCCACGGTATAGAACGTCTTGGGATTCGGTCAAAGAGCATCTTGGCACCGAGACGACGTGAGAGCGGCACACTGCCGGGAGCTCACTGGCTCACCTGCCGATACGGCTTGCCTGCCAGGCGGTCGACCGCCGAAGAACATGACCAAGATGGGGGCCGGTCCACGGGTGTCCCATCATTTCAGGTTTAATCAGTCAATCAGAGTTTGATCAAAGCAGTGGGTGTTCGAATTGAAGGGAGGGCAAAACTGAGGGCATCCTTTCTGAGTTCTCAGGCAAGAGGGCAAGGATGATCCCTCACAGCCCCTGGAGATTTTGCCCGATGGCTTTTCCCATGGCAACTGGACGGCATGACAACTGGGCGGCATGTTCCGGTGAACAAAACGAGGGTGTGAAGTGAAGATAGAAGGGAGGGCAACTTGTGATACAAGTAGAGGGAAAGACAAAGTTAAAAGGTGCGGAAGGTATTCCCATTCGATTGTTCTTCCATCAAAACCTGGTGCCAAGAACGACAGAGTCCTTTGCTGGCCAAGAATGACCAATCCAAGAGTCCTTTGCTCGATCATCCAGCATTGTTCATCAATCCAGGAGACCTTGACATCCACAAGGTCAACCACAAGTACATGCAGTACATGCATTCTTGTTTTTGGAAAAAGCTCCTAGTAGCGTCCTTGTTCCTAGTAGTAAGGCCAGGAGCTAGTAGTAGTGTCCTTGCTCCTAGTAGCGATGCCCTTTGCTCCTAGTAGCTTCTTGTTACTAGACCAACCTGATTGTAAGTATATGAAGGGTCGGTGAGTTGGCAATGGTGAGATTCGCAGTCCTCAGCCAGCACAATTGTGTGCCCGCTTCACATGTTTTTTGGTGTTCATCCTGTGGGGATTGACTGTGGGCCATGAATGTTCAATGAATGATTGTGCAAGAGAGAAACCAGGTAACACGACCCCGAAGAACGGAACCTGTTAGAACTGGCGGAATTGGCGGAACGCCTGTGCGAGTCACGAGAAGTCGTGACACCACAAACAACAACCCAAGGCAAAACATGGCCTCTCGTGTTGCCTTCGTTCGTGTGAGAGACGTGATAGGCCGAGGCCTTCGTTCGTGACATCCATGTTACATGGCCTTCGTTCTGTCATGGCCTTCATTCGCCCCTTCGTTCGTTACATCTATAAATGAGCCTTTGATGATGCAAAGTTACTCATTTAGATGTTGCGCAGTTCACCATCAATTCGACAGGTGGTTACTCCCAAAAAAGACGAGGCGACATCATCGGAAACCGAAGCCACAGCTATGACGATCATGTCGGAGACAGACTCCTTTCAGACAGCAAATGATCTGTTGCCTAGAAGCATGCCTTGAAGCTTCATTCAGATTCATGCTTAGCATAGCTAGTTTTCTGCCCTTAAAAGGGTTTCCTCCCTTTTGACTCCAAGCGAGCTCTTGGACTCTCCGGTTTTAGAGATCAGCTTGTTGGGGTCGATGAACGTCAACGAGCTTAACTCGTTTCTGGTCGTGTCCGTCGCACGCAAAATGTGTGGCTGAGTGGACTTTCTCCACAAAGTGGACAGGATCCGCTGGATGGACAGGTGGAGGCAAGTTAGCTCAAAGGGAAAAGGAGCCGGATCCGCTGGGTGCGAAGACTTGAGGAGCAAGGTCTGCTTTGTTTGCATTGCTTTGGAGCGTATGTGACATGTTTCACTGTTACTGCGAGGGTTTAGAGGGACTGGTTGCGGCCAAGAAGGAGAATGACTGCTGCAGGCATTGATTTCCACATCAAGCCATCCGGTAGTGTAACATGGCGTAGTGAAATAGAAATCCAAACAAGGTCCAGCACCTGGCTCATGGTGTAGCTTTCTCATGCTGGGAACACAAAGGAACTTGCTGTTCCTTTCAAAAGTGCTTCTGATGGCTATAGGCTTCTGGAACTCACAGTTTTTCATCGCAAGGTCCTGGGAGAACCATCAGGGCTTTGTACTCCAGCAGACCTCGGCATTGAGTCCTGTAACAGGACCTGGATGCGGTTTTTAAGTTATGCAAAGAGAGATGCAAAGAGACCAGACAAAACACTAAAACCTATGGGATTGGGGTGATCTTTGTGCTGCCTAGGCTGATCATGTTGATGTTTGTTGTAGAGACATGTTTGTGTTTTCAGATCCCGATTCTTGATGAACCCAAAAAGCTGAGTAGTCTACCGGAGATATTTGCGCCCCATGGTTGACAATCCTCAAGCGATTGCGGTTTCGTGACGGTTGTTTCGTGGATAGAAAGTTGCTGCTACCACTGCCATGAGGATCCGCCTAATTCATGCCGAAGAATGAGGACCAGGCGTTGCTAGACACTCTTCACTGGTGCTACCAGTGCATGTTGTTTGGAGAGCAAACATCATTTGCCAGGAGCAAGTCCAATCCAAAGAACGCCTCCAGGACTCGTGCACACCTGGAGAATCGGTTCTTGGGTCATTTGGATGTCCATCCCACTTAGTTATAATCCATTATAATCCCCTCCACCTATCAAAAAAGTACGCCCTCCCCGGCTTACCCCCCAAAAGTAAAAACACATCGGCGTCATTATCGTTAATAGGGGTCCCCCAAATGGGGGGAGACCGACTCAGATCTGGGACCGACCTTGGAAAGAGAGTTGGACAGGATTTTGGCCCGAGTGTGAGCGTGTGAGCGAGAGCCAAATGGAAGTTCAGGCAGGGAGTCCTCCAGGAGCTTGCTGCACCCAGGCGGCAATCATTGGGGCAAGGCGGGCTTTTGGACACCTGGAGCCCGCCAGATGTAAGAGCTTACAGCGTTTCAGTGTGGAGTTTTGCATCTTTGTTTGGGGGGCTTGAACATGACTATACAACAGCTGGATGATGGAGATGCAACGATGTTTCGCGGCGCAACTCTTCAATTCCTGTGTGTTGTTTTATGGTAAGTTGGTTACCAGTTGGTTTGCTTTGACTTAAGGCGCCTTTTGACTTGAGGCTTGAAGAATTTCACGTTGTGAGCTGCATAAGTTGCACTGCTTGGAAAAGCAGGCTCGGTTTTTGAACAGTTTTGAGTATTGTAAGCCCGCAGCGTTCGTGCCCGTCAGCTGGTATCCCGCTCCCCTTGTTTACCGAACAAAACTCCGATGGCGGATTTGCGTTTGGCTGGTGCTGCTTCCTGGCTGTGGAGATCTTTCTGCGGTCAATGCTTTGCCGCGTTGCTTTGGAGTCTCTTCGATTTCCAACGTGCAACTTTCGTTGCTGCTTTTCGGAGCATGCGCCACGAGATTTGGAACGCGCGATGTTTGGCAGCTAGCCGCAACCACTCGTACCTGAGGATCTGACGGGCTTAACAGAGTACCGCCACCTACCCCCAGAGTTCCACACGCTTGTGGCAACAAAGTTTGTGTTTGCGGCGACGAATGGTGTCAACCCGAAATATGTGAACCCAACGCTCCTCTTTATCTTGCAGACAATGAAAGCCATTTTTGGTGACCGGGGTTTCCTTTGGTCTCGGGTTTTTCTTTCGTTCGCGCTCCTTGCTTGTGTGCTTTTGTTTTCGGGAACCTGGATTTGTTGTCCTTGCGCGCGCCCGAGGCCGACCGACCGGACAACTGTCTTACAAAAGTGGGTCTTATCGAAGTTCCCGGGCAACAGATTGCTCAACTGTTACATGATCATGGTGGCAGCGATGTGTTCTCCAATGACGATGTTGGCATTGTTGCAGAAGCTTTGTTACCGTTGCGCTTGAGAAATGTGAGTTTCAAAATCACTTTCTTGGTTCCGACTTTAGCGCTTGAATTTCTAGCGGACTGGCAAGCGGTAAGCTGTTGTTGTTTTTGCTTTTGCTCATAATCCTGGCAGGCTTAACTTCATGACGATTCGTGGCCTCACCCTTGAAAAACGCCTTGCAAAGCTTGAGAGGCTCATGTCCTTGCAGCCAAGACACCAACGCAGCGCGCAATAATTTTTTGAGGGGGCCTGCCCGCCATCCCAGGAGGAGTGTGCTGAGCAGCTGCGCTGATCACTTCAAGACACATCGCTAATAACCGGTGGGGGGTGGAGTCTTGAAAGCGTCACCGTGGCAGGGGGAGCAACACACCGTGTGGGCAGCTGGGCTGAGGACACTCAGGCCTGCACGCCGGAGGATGCGCAGCGCCAGGCAGAGGGCGCCCGCAACACCCAGCGGTCCAAAGGCTAGCGGCTAGGAGCACGCGGGAAAACAGGAGCCCATTAGCAGCCAACCAACGCAGGCAAGCAGCCAGATTAAGGAGTCTAGCGCTACGCAAGGTCTCCGTGCTCCACCCAACAAGTCCACCCAACAAGTTTAAGAGAAACCTGCCAGTTCTTATTTGTAGATGGCCCGAGTGTGTTAGGAACGTTCCTCGATTCAAATCTCTGCCCTGAGAAGGTCCTTGTATTGTAAAGCCCGTATTGGAACACGCGCCCGGAACGCTAAAAGCCTGCAATTCCCTTGAACATATCATCATAGAGCTGTTTGGCCACCACCCTGTCGAGGGACAACCTTTTCGTAATTTTCATCACACTAATTATCAAATTCAGTGAGTGCTACTCCCAACTCAGAAATGCAAAAAACGCATTGTAAAATACAGTAGGAAAGAATATAAGCCTTTTGAACGAAAGGGATAAGATTGTGGAATAATAAGGTGAAGACTCAGTGAAGACATTCACTTTTGAAAACATTTAACAGGTGTTTTAACATTCTTCTCATCCCTCAAACTTCACCAAAAAATCAAACACCGCCACACCCCCCACCCCTAGGACTGGCTTCATGAAAGTTTGCTTGGAGTTGCTTGGCTTCAAAAGCAACTGTCACATCCGATTCATCCAGCACGCAACTGCCTCAAATTCACGCTCACATTCACTACGCTTCATAAGTCACAGTCCGATTCACCCCACCACACTACGCTTCGCATATATTCAGAGTCGGCCCGCGAAATCGGATTTGATTTGGCAACTTTGCCGCCCACATAGCTTTGTACGTGCAACTCTTAGTTGTTACGTTTTGTTCCGCTGCGCTGCCAGGACTTGCTTCTTCACCACTGGGCTTGGAACTGGATCTTGGTTTTGCTCGATTTGCCGCCTATATTGCTAAGCCCGAACCTTGAACCCTAAGCCCTCATTAATGTAGTAGTAGTAATAGTAGTAGTAGTAGTAGTAGTACGTACGTACTAGTGCTAGTACTACTAGTAGTAGTCGTAGCAAGCAGCAGCAGCAGCAGTAGTAGAAGCAGAAGCAGAAGCAGAAGCAGAAGCAGAAGTAGAAGTAGAAGTAGTAGTAGTAGTAGTAGTAGTAGTCGTGGTGGTGGTGGTGGTGGTGGTAGTAGTAGTAGTAGTACTAGTCGTAGGAGCAGCAGCAGGAGGAGTAGTAGAAGTAGTAATAGTAGAAGTAGAAGTAGTAATAGTAGTCGTCGTCGTCGTCGTAGTCGTAGTAGTTGTGGTGTGGTAGTGGTAGTAGTAGTTGTGGTGGTGGTGGCAGGGGTAGTGGTAGTGTCAGTGGTAGTAATCAATAATTCATATCCAAATGACAATCCTTTCAATGCCAAAAATTCAGAGTCAGAAACGATTTAGAGTCATTCTTGGTAGCGACATTGATTTTTCAATGTTTTTCTTGTTCATGTTTCGTCCGGTCTCTGTAGACATGCTTTTCGTCATTTTTTCCAGGTCATCCCCGGCCTCCGTCTTAAGCGTTCTACTGGGCCTTTCCTTCTGCGCTTCTACTTCAGTCTTTGCAAAACTTTGACTCAAGGATTACCTTTTCCTTTTAATGCCTGCCTACTCTTCTCGTTAACGAAGAAGACTGGCCTGTCGAGAGCGCGAACCTGCTGGCAAGGTAGTGCAGATACAGTTTTGCAGTTTTACTCTCGCGCGCCTGCTTGCCTGCTTCACTTTGAACTACGGTCTGAGTGCAAGCCATTGGTGAGCCGCTTGCCATGTTACGCGCTGGGCTTCCTGTTTTCTTGAGGGTAGACTCTTTTCTGTGATTTCTCTTCTGTCAATGCACTTGGGCGCCAGCAACTCCAGCAGACGCCTGCCCCTCCACCTGCAACACCTGGCACGCCACCCTTTCCACCGAACGCCGCCAGAAGCGTTCTGTTGGTGGTTTGGTGGAACCTAAGTAACTCACAGGCGCATCCATAATTGCTTCAGGGTCATACAGTGCATATTCAGTCACGCATCATGATGCATCAACATGGAGAATGTGTAAACAATTTTCACAGAACCTGGGCCCTCGCGAGTGAGCAACATTTTCAACGCTGCTGCTGTCTTACCGCAGACTTCGACGCCCAAGAAAAGTTTCAGAATGCCTACGATGTACTAGTGCTAATAAAGGGAACCAGACCGCAGAGCTAAAGCTAGCAAACTCCTTTCTGCCTGCAGGGCTAGCCAGCTTGTTTAAAGGCAGCCAGTAGAGCCAGGTGCCACAGGGGGAGCTAGCGGGTAGGCAGGTTGATATCCAAGCCTCCTTCAGCGTAGCCAAAGCAAATGAACGGAGATACATCTAAAGCTGTAGCCGTGGCATGATTGTGGGATTGGCTAAGAATATATCATTTTGCCTTCCCAGACTGACCAGACAGCCTGGCTTAGGTTGCCAAAAAATGGTCGTGTGAGCAGTATTGTAATAGAATGACAAAGCCGCCATATTCAATCTTAACTGTATCTTCCACGGGTCTCGGAGATGTTTTGTGTTTTCTTTCAGTTTGGTAGTGATTTCAACCAGGTACCCGGGATTGATACGTTGGCAGATCAGCCTATGCCACCCAGGGACTCTTCAAGACAGTTCAAGTGTATGTTACCGAGACATGTCTTTGGTGGACATCCAAGGAGACCAACTTGTGCTGTTTTTGGCCACTTTGCCATTAACCTCAGACTCCCACCTGTGAGGATGTCATTGAGGGGATGGGAATGGGCCCAGCTCAGATTGCCTGGGGAATCTTGGGTGGTGGAATTTGGCTCGCTGATGGAGCAGAGCTTCTCTTAGTGAGTTCCGTTACGAGGTGCGGGACTCTAGAGTTGTTGACATTATTTTTGGATAGAAGGTGAATTCACCTTGGGTTATTTTTCATGCCCTGCACGTGTCTCTTCACATGTTTTTCACACGTACCATTGGGTTTGTTGTGGCTTGCTACCTGTGCCACGCGCAGGTCGCTTCAAAAGGAATGGCACCTAACAGCCGTCATGAAGGGCCTCATTGCCCGGGCCTCCGCGTTTCGAACAGTTTTTCTGGGAGATGATTGTCGTGCATCAGTGTAAATAAAATATGGGAACATTCCAAATATTTTGTGTATATACAAACAAGAACATTGGGCTTTGACATTTGTATTAGAGAACGATCCTACCATGTTTACATCGGATTCAGCAGTCCACCTGGGAATTCTCATTGGACTTGAGGTATCAGCAGTCTACCTGGGAATTCTCATTGGAAACGCCGCTAGCGGTGGTTGCAGCCACCGTTTCGGCCGCCGGGAGATGATCGTCCTCTCGTGCTTGGGACTTTGGGCCAAGGGAAGACATGGATCTAGTTTGGACAAATCCTCAGGGTCCCAGGGTCAAACAGACACTGTTAGATTAGTCTCGCAACCATGATTCTAAACATTTTCGATCGCCGAACACAATTTGTTTTGGGGGTGGTGATGAGGGTCATCAGTTTGATTTTGGCGAGACCGACGTGTCCTTTTATCACATGGAATGGTTTGGGAACACCGCGCAGCCCGATGGCTTGGATGGGAACATTTTGTGAGATATTAGGATCCGCGATTTGTTTTCGGTCTTACTGGCAGAGCTGGCGCAAACGCTGAAGAACACCATCATATTCAGGGAAATCATGTTGAACAGGAAACGTCCAAATGTGTTTTATCATGTTTTATCATTTTTGTTGTTCTGAAATATGTAGTTATTGAACTCCATGGTTAGTTTGAGGTGTCTCGTAATCTGCGCATGGATACACAGAACCTTGCAGGTACTGTGGCATCTTCCTTTGTGGATTTGTGAGTGCAGCTTGTCGGGCTGCAATGGCCTTCATGATCATGCGATTCCTGGGCGGCATCTTCATTGGAATAGGCAAGCTCCTCCAATCTTTGGAGCTGTTGATGTCTCAAGACAGAGGGACCAATACTTAAGGCAACTGCCACGCCACATTTGAAGAAAAAATGTTTAAGTACACCTTCACACTTGCCATGTTTGGGGTGATGGCGTTGGACAGAGCCAGGCCAGCCAGCCTGGCTCTCTATCAGCGCAGAGATTACCCCTGCCTACTGGCGAATTCCCATGGCTGCTGTTTCTCAGTCCTTATTCGTCGTTGGAGAGATGCCTCTTGGCTCGAACTTCATCGCAGACTGATCTCAGAGAACCTGGATAGCCTTCCGTCAGCGTGTGGCCTAGATGGTAATCCCTCTATATATCTCTTATATATATAGACACATACACATACTGTAGTAGAGTTCGATTGGAACTCCTTTTGGTTCAACAACCCACGCCTGGTGTCAGCTCATTGCAGACTGTACACGTATGGTATTGCTGCATCCAAAGGCGCTTGGGTGAGTCTTGCGCGACAGAAGGCGTTCATCTTTCTGAATAGGCCCTCTTCCAGGAATGTGTGGGAGTCTTTAAAGAATAGTTATCATTGAAAAGTCACAAACAGTAGCGCGCTGTTGGCAGCCTAATGATTAATGCACAGAGGCACGTGGGGAAGGTACTCGCCTTGCATTTTCTACTGGCACACCAAATCACTTCAAAATCGACTTAATCCGCAACGGCTTGAGCAGGGAAGGAAGGAAGGAACGAAGGAAGGAAGAAAGGAAGAAAGGAAGACAGTCAGACAGGAAGACAGGAAGAAAGGAAGAAAGGAAGGAGACCTAGATGTCCTGTCTTTGACCTCCGTTCCGAAACCATCTCACTACACCATCACCCCAAAAAGAAGATGTGGAACAGATTGCTTGACAGATTGTTTCACATGCAGCTGAAGGAAAGACCCAAGAGTGAATGCTAGAGAGCTGCGGAACATGCTCATGTCGTGGCTAACGATTTTGGTTTGGACAGTAAAATAGCTGTAAACCTCTTTTTTGCAACCCTCACCAACTCTCAAGATATCTCAAAAGATTGTAGTTCAACGCCTGACGACCATCAGACTGCCAGAGTCACCGTGAAACTCTTCGTTGTCTACATTGTACATCTACAGCAACACAAAAGTGTTTTACGATGTTTTACGCGTAAAAGCAAAAGCACACATATGGCTTTGGACCCTGGACCAAAGCTTGCAGCACTTGTAGATGGCCCAGGTACATATCATTTCTTTTGATGATGGATGACTCAAACATGCAGGCCGGAGTATCCGAAAGCAATCGAGCAATTCCTCAAGATGTTTTTTTTCTTTTTGTTTTTTTAAGCATGAGACCAGAGACGTTGCTGAAAAACAACCACTGTATATAACCAACATGTTTAAAAAGTGGGTTGAGAGAAGTATGGGAAGTATGGGAAAATGTTTAAACAAGTGTATATAACCATTGTTTCCTTTCAGGTCCAGACTCTTGCTCTCTTTTCTTTGGGGGGTCGCTCCACCCACCGGGAGAGTGCTCGGATCGTGCAGTTTTTGCATTGGCGAGTGCTGCTCCGCCTGGGAACTGTGCCTTCATTGGTTCTCTTCACTCTCAGCAGCCCGGCCGACGTGACGGTTTGAGCGCTTGTTTGGAGCGAAGCGGCAGGAAGGAACCAGACATAACCAGACAATTCCTTCCGAATGTGATGAGAAGAACCTGCCGGCAGGTGCTCACTTTGGGATGTACCGGATTTCACCGGGGGCACATGTGAAGTTCTATCATAAGTACCCTGTTTGCTTCAGATACCCTCGACCGTCGCTCCCGCATGTCGACCGTCAGTGGCCTAGGCATGTCGTATCTGAACGAGTCGCCCATGTTCCTTGCCCTCAAAGGGCGGAACAAAGAAGCTCGCAGCGTGGTGGAGAGCATGGGGAGGCTGGAGTCCAGCACCTGTTTGGCCCCGCGCTGTGGGGCAGGTCCAGGCGATGAGGATTCATATAAGACATGTTTTCGTTTAGCATGGGGCCAGCCACACAGGGGTGGTGTAGCCACACTTCTTAAAGTGACCCAGAAAGTTTGCACTTTGTGGCTTCGGGATAGTTGGAATTTCAATGACTTTGTGTCCAGTGTCGACCAAAGAATCCCTGAGAGTTGTTTTGGCCTCCACACTGCGTCCAGTGGTCGGAGGCTGAATAAATCGCCGCCCAGCACGCTGGACTTTGAAAAGCCCTGTGCAGAAGTGAGAGAGGGAACATTGTTCTCACAAATGTCGAGACAAATGACCTTGGTCTTCAGTGAGGAGTTCATCGCACACGACCCAGTGGAGTGGGAGTGAGAGACAAACGGGGAACATATACGTCAATGTAGGTTTCGCGGATTCAATCGATGAGATGATGGGAATTGTCGGATACTCTAAGGTTTGTACCTTTGTGATCATGTCAGTGTGTTTCACGCTCAACATGGTGTACTTTGGCAGCCTCTTCGCTTTCCCTCAGGCACCAGTTGTTGGGAGGCCGAAACACAACAGGGTTGCCAGTTGGTCAGCAAGTCAAAGACTAGAGGAGTTGAGGGTGTGCAATTCTAATTCACTGACGACGTGCCCATCCGCCCCATCAGTTGAGCTTCGTCAGGTTGGCATTGCTCGTATATGTTGTTTTGCCACCACTGGAAGACCATTTGATAATATTTGATATGGATATATAAACAGGTTGAGCATGGTTGAGCTGTTTTGGTATTGTACTCTTCCTACAGCAGTCGATTAGTTTTTATATGAGTTTGTACTTTATAGTTTGGAGTCTGTTTGCAAGTGTTTGCTCTTGTTTCCATTCTTTGATGGTTTAGGGGCAGCACTTACATACATACAATATATATATATATATTTTTTGTGAACCTGCTCAATATTAGACGGGGTCAAACACTGCAACATCCCGCGTTTTGGACGGCAGATTTGAGCCCTAAACGAACGTCCAAGCCACAGCCACCCGACGGAAGCGAGCGATGAGGTGCTGCCCATGCTGATGCATGGACAGGCAGCCTCGGAGCTCTTGGTGGGCGCACTTTGGGAACTGCCTGGCCTGGCCACAGGCAAGTGAATTGGAATGTTAACTGGGCATAAGAAGTCAAGGAGTTCAGCAACAAGTCCTTGTTGATGGGTTTGCCATGAGACTGTCATTGGGCAATATTATATATACAGGAGAATAACGCAGAACCACACATATGTATACTTAAAGTAAGTAAATCGATGTCCAATCCAAAGGGGAATTCTTGTATGCTCCTTTTGGCCCAAACACAAGAGGTGGAGTACAAGTATTGCATCGGCCATAATCATGAGCTGGATCTCCGGCCAGGCTTGCTTCTGGGCATCACAGCATCCAGGCAGGGACAAAGAGATAAACATGAGCTTTCCTTGAAACCCTGGCCATGGTCGTTCGACCACTTTGGAAAGGAACCAAAATTGTGGTCTTTGCTACGTCTGCCAGGTGAAACCAGTGATTTCTGTGTCATGTTTGGCCAGTTTGAGGCGTAATTCACTGAAAGTCTACCTTACAGCTTTGACATGCCCGGGCCCTTGCAAACGCGATGATGGTAGAGACGAACATGATCGATTTTGTAAATCGCTTGAATGATCTTGAACCACTGAAGTCATCCGAAGTCTGCCAATGTGATTTCAAGGTTCCATTGTGTGCTTCATCGTGGGAGCCCATGGCCACCCTGAGCCGCTTGTTTTGAAGTTAAGACTTAGCATGGCCACCTGGAATGGGTGAAACTCACTGAGGCATGGAAAGCTCATGAAGGTCTTCCTGTACATTGGCTACTATGGCCCAAACCTCAGCCGCAGGGAGTCGGTCCGATGCCATAGCATCAATCATCAATCTATATTAGAAGCAAGGAACAGACTCCAGATGATCCCACTGTTCACTTTTCTCTGAAGACCAAACCGTTCCTGGACATGTTGAGCCCTTTCTCCCTGTGAATCGACTATCCGCTTGACTAATTCGACTCTCCCATCACGTCGGGGCTGGTGAAGTGCACGGTGCACGTCGGGTAAGGCATCAAATGCGTCCCAAACATCGGATTTATCGTGGCTTACCAGATGTCTGCAGAGCTCTATCCGACGGAGGATTCCCTCGGTTGGTCGGGCTAGGGCGGGCGGGCTAGGCTAAAAGGGCCAAAGGGCCAAAGGATGCCAATTAGGTCAAAAGGCCATGGTGCCAGGGCTTTTCAGGAGTCAGGTTTGGGCTTTCATGGATTGTTTTTGGAAACGCGATGAGCTGGGAATCTGCGGGAGCGAAGAAGAGTCCTCCATCCACAGAAGACAAACATTGCATCTGAAAACCTCATCCTAAGGCTTTCAGAGCTTTCTTCAAAGCTCTCTCTTGTATGCAGGCAAGGAGCATGGGAGCTGGGTTGGCCTTGGCAGCTGGTCGGCCCCATTCTCAGATCCTCCCAAACGGACTTCGCGTTGTTCGTGGGGCCGTTCGATGTCGTGCGTTCGTTGGTCGAAGGTTGGCGGCCATGATTTCTCCATTGATCTACGAAGCTGTTGTGATCTGGACGGGGACCTATTTGGTCTTCTTTCTCTTGATGGCCACGATGTGCGTGAGCAATTTGTACATGGTCGCTTGGATTATTTCTGTGGACTGGGGCCAGGGGCCATTGGAATCTCAAAGGGAGAGTGCCCCTTCAAAAAAATGCTTTTCATTGTTTTTCTATACTTTTTGCGGGGCATCTTGGATGTTTACAAACATGGTGCTTTCTTGGCTCAGCAGACAAAAAGGTGGACCTTTTGCCAGAGATCAACGGCCTGCAATCCGATAGTGAGGCGAGTCCATACTGGAAAATATGGCCGAGATTTTGTTGAAGTTGCACTGCAGCCCTAATTGTCACCTCCACCTGATGATTTGGAACATTTGTCGGGCTTTCAAGTTGCCTCCAAATTTCACTGTTGCTGGCTTGAAAGATGCCTTGGTGCAGGTGATGCCGATTAACAAGGGCAATCCCGAGAGGATTCAGGTGGTTTGAATCGGAAGATGAACCGACTTCGGGACATCCTCGAGACTCATCGTGGATCGTGCCGACAAAGAACAAACAGTCTGAGTGCCAAGGGCGCGTTGGCCGGACTCCTTCAACCATCAAGAGTCCGGCGAGTCCGGGTCTTCTTTTGAATTCCAAAGGAATTTCAGGTTTGGAAGGGATCGCAGCAATCCAATTCATTCATGCAGAAAAAAGGATGATGGAAAATGGAGTTCACTCTCAAGATCTTGGTCTTGTAACTCTATGCTTGCCTTGGCAGTGATCTTGCATTGAATGGAACGATGAAGGTGAGGCATGATTCATTCTGGCTGTGGCAGCGTGGGCGAAAAGGGTAGATATTCAACAGCTTTAGCTTGACTCATTGATTGCCAGGAACGACCCCTTGAGTTCAGCCCAGATGGACACATCGCAAAGAATGCAAATGAAAGCCATGTGACAGATCAGAGCCTTACAAAGAGCCAGCAAGATGGGACAATCGATGGTACATTCAGTACATTCAGCACCGTCCTTGCCTGAGTGGCAAAATAAGATTGTGAGACCATTTCATCTCCAGCTTCACTTTGCTGAACAGTCAGGATTCCAAACCATTGTAGAAGTCCTGATCCATTGATCCATGTGTTTCTTTGATAGGAAAAGCACAACATGAAACCACCCTGGAGTTCTGCACCACTTTTGCTGTTCTTTCTTGCTGACCCAGGGCCTCCTCCGCACTGCCAGGCCAGTCAGTCAGTAAGTCGGGTCAGGTATAGTTCTCACCTAAAGGATGTCCCAGCCTCCCAACAAAAGCATGTTTTACGATGCAAACGGGGTTGGGGCGGATGCTTGATTTTGAGGACGTTTGCTTCAGTGCATTGAACCCAGTAGCCGCAGTAGCCCAGATTTTTGTGCGGCAGCATGTCAGACAAACTGCCTGAAATCCATGACTTCTGTCAGCCTCGAGCTCATCAAGCGGACCACCAGTTAGTGTACAGCCCGGCTTGAAAGTCGAGGACCGACCAGTAATTTGTGACTTGTATGACTCAAAGCAGATGAAACCCTTGTGAAAAACTTGTGGTTTTCCTGTGTATGATGATGTATTACTCCACGGCGTTCTCTCCAAAGGAGGGAGTTTCTAGTTTGCCTGGTGACGAGTGACCAGTGGCTCGACCGGTCGTCGGACTGGTCACCGAAGACTGAGATCGGATGACCGCCAGGACGACCAATTCCTGCGAGGAGTCTTGTTTGTTGAGAAAGCCATCTTCGCTTGTCCTCTGCCAGGGAAGGCCGGTAGATCGAATCGTCCCACGAGGTCCTTCGGAACGCCGATTCGATTGGAAGAACGCCCAAGAAGCGGGGTGGAACGAGACATCGTCGAGTCTCAGCGCCATCTACTTCCATGGCAGTCCGTGTAAGCTACACATATCATTCTCATGGAGCTCTTGGTGGATTCATTGGTTTGCATGGTTGGAACCAGTTGACGCTAAGGCATGGATTGAGTTGGGGCGCTGGAACCCCGTGTCGCTCCTCTTTCTGGTCCCAGCATGGTCAGGAATCTGAGTCGTGTTTGACATGCTCAGCGCCATGTGAGAAAGCAGGGAAAGGAGCCAACAGCTGTGGCTTATAGGCTTATAGGATCCATATTCTAAAGGTTTCAAGAAATGCGTTGTTTTCAAACTTGCAATCATTCACTTTATATATATATATATATATTATACAAGGATATACAAGGGTGCTTCATCCAAGAGAGTGATTTTGAGTCTTCCTTGGAAAACGATAGAGGACGTCCCAACAAATCATATACATGACATTTGTACCAGAAGGATTTGAATGGCTATTCAAGTAATACACAATAAGTAGCATATAAAACACATATACTTATAATGGTTATACAGTTGTAAATCATGACGTATAACATAAATATGCTATAAACAAAGCATGCCCCGGTACCAAATTCTTCAGGTAGGTGTGGTGTGGCGTTTCGACCATCTTGGACTGGCAGCAAAAAATGCCACGCTGAGGTCGTACCAAGTGTCTGGTCCAGCTGATCATTGGTGGTTTGTTGCCAGGATTCGCCTCCAACGGCGAAAACGCGAAAGCGGCATTTTGGGGTAGGAAGAAACCAGGTAATCCGGGGGTTCTGGAAGTGAGTGTTCTGCAGTGTTCTGGTGTTTTGTGACTCAGACGTGCCAGGAGTGCGAACAACATGCCGGATCCTGAGGGCCGATCCGAGCGGTTTGGCTTCGCGATCTCGTGTGCGCGCTCACCAAAACGGCTCCAAAAGACACCAAAAACGAAGAAAAACGAAGAGAGGTCTGAAGGTCTTGACGGTTCAATGAGGTACTTTTATGCTGCTCAGTTCTGCATGGACGAAAGTGGAAAGAACCACGTGACTGGTCGGTGTCTGAGGTGAAGTCTTGAAGTGAGGGGAGGGTACTGAAGACCAAGAGACGGTTCAAAACCATTCAAGCTTAAGACCATAATGCAAGCATGCATAGTTTTGCTCACAGAAACGATTCAGGCAACAAACACTTTACATATCTTTCCTTCGTAGATAGATTGAATCATTTTGGCCCGTTTAGGTGTACAGGCTGATTCTTTTGACCTTTGAGAATCCCAGTACATTCAAGGTTCGGTTTACCTGGGACTGCCTGGTGCTGTGGCCAGCGGCCTTCAATACCCCGAGGCGGATTCTGAATCGGCCGATGGGCAGATGTGTAAATAGACCAGTCAACGGTGCGATCAGGGGCGATCGGGGGTCTCCCTCTTGAATTACACACTACTGATCACATTTAGATGTTTGTGAACTTGTCATAAATTGAAGGGATGTTGTTGAAGATCCTCAGGTGTTCAACCGGCAAATGTTCAAATTCAAGCTTGAGAGTGCCAGCTTCGTTCCATGCCCACAGGCCAACTGTTGGCTTGCAAGGGAGTGGGCCCCTTGCAGAAAGCCTCGCGCCAAGCGAGATTTGGACAGGCCATGAGAGCGAGATTGCTCACCGAATTGGTCACCGAATTGGATGATTGCTCATGAAATCTCATGGCTCATTGGGGGTGCCATTACTTAATTGGGATTCACCAGAAAGAGAGAGAGAGAGGTCGTCATGTTTTCCGTCTCTGGAGGTTATTGATGTCGAATCCCTCAGCGCAAATTCCCTATTCCTGGATGGACAACAATTGTCAACATTTCGCGGTGAACCTTTACGCAGGGAGCCCCAGTCACCAGTGAGAGAAGCCAACTCAGCCACCACTTGATGGAGTCACTGTGGTGGTCAGGAAGGCGATCATGGCCACATTGCTTGATGAGGCCGTATGGAAACTTACCTTTTTGATCCTTTTTGCATCTGGCCCAAAGGGCTTCATGACCAGGGCTGACTGCGTACAGCACACCAATTGCCCTGAAATTCACTTTGCAGTTGTGAAATCTCCGAAGGAAGGGAAGCGTTTTGCTGAATGATTGGAATGAGACAATGCAGCCGCTGACTTGATCTGACTTCCTCTATAGTTATAGCGTACCATTGCTTGTTGTGTCCATTTCCTTTGCCATTTCCTCCACACCTCTTCATAAACCATTTTGCTTGGCTCAGAGAGATAGTAGCTTTCCATTGGGGCGCGCTTTCAGGCTTGGGAGAATCGTGGGTAATGTTCAAGTTCATTTCATGAAAGTGTTCGTGTTCATGTGTTGTTGGACAGCTTTGTTGTTTTGTGGCCTTGCTTTTGCGACGTGGTGCAGGCAGGTATGGCGCGCCAATCCGGATACGACCGCCACATTACCATCTTTTCGCCCGAGGCTGGGAGTGTAGCAGCGTAGCCGACGTTTACACACAGCAGACTTTGAGAGCTTTACTTGCTTTAACCCGCTCTCCAACCTAATAGCGATGGCCTCCAACCTAGTGGCCTCCTACTGGGGATGGCCTAGGAGCTTTACTTGCTTTGCTGGTTTGACTGAGCAAAAATGCCACACCGATTCACCTGGCCCTGTTCGCCACATGTTCGCCTGTTCACTGCTTCCCCTCCTTCGGGTCTTGCTTGACCGTGGTCAGGGCCGCTTGCATCAGGTCGAGTATGCGTCATGCTGTCGTGCTTGGGGTTTCACTGATGGTTGTTATTCACAGTTTGTGCTGTGCCAGGTTCCAGGCAGTCAAGAAGAACCAGAACATGACCTCTGTAGCTTTGCGAGGAGACGATAGTGCCGGGATCTTGGTAGAATAGCAAATGGCCCAATTTGCATGCTTTGAGAGAGAATAGGATCTTGCGAGCAGTTGTTCGAACTCAGGTTGTCGCAGTGACCCAGAAGAAGGTTCCGGATAAGCTGATGGACAAGGCAGGTGGCCATGCATGCTCGGAGAAATGACTTTTTTGGATCTCACACCCTCTATCTCTTTTGATTTTTTTTTGATAGGATTTTGGCACTCACCTCTACAACATCACTCCGAATGTTGGCTGCCTCATGACGGGCATGAGTCCTGATGCTCGAGCTCTGGTGTACAGGCACCAAGCACTGCGCTGTAAGCCGAGCACTGCCCCGGATCGAGTTCGCCCCGTTTGCGGTCGCACAGGGCGAGAGAGATTGCAGCCAAGTTCAAGGATAAGAATGCCTACGAAATCCCTGTGGGAACCTCAGAGCTTGCTCTTGCTGGAGGCCTTGGATGATCTTGGAAACTTGATGAAATTTAGTTCCTGACGAGGATTTGCATGGATTTGGTCTTTTTGAAAGCTGGCAGGTCCATTACCTTGCCTTGAAGCTTGCAAACATTGCACAGGCCATTGAAGATGTACGCTGCAATCCTGCACCGCCCATCAACATTGCACCGCTCAGGTGTACACCCAACACGCCTACATGCGACCCTATGGTGTCAGTACCATCCTGTGTCTTGGTGGCAACATTGTCTTGTAGTATATTAGTTTATTCAATTATTAGTTCATTCAATTCTTATTTTTGGGGTGTATTTGGGGTGAAGTACACGTCCCGAAGGAAGAGGTCGCCGGGAAGCTTTGGAAGGTTTGAACATCACTTGCCTCAATCATTTGGGCTTACTGTCAGTTTCTTCTCTTGGGGAAGTGTACTTTGCTTAAGGGGCATCCACAGAACAAGAGTCGATGGTTTGATGTTGAATCTTTGCAGGGTTTCCATCGATGACGAGAAGGGCCCGTCGCTCTATCAGGCTTTGCAGTCAATGAGTTAAGCTGTATTGAAGCTTCAGATCAATCAAGTCACATCAACCGTTGTTCCTGTCACCGTGCATGTCCGGGAGTCGTTCCTGGTCATCGTACACCTTCAGAATCAAAGAGCTTGCCCGCCAGATCGACCCTGCTGGTCAATACTTTGGGTATAAGGCTGCAGCCGCTGGCACAAAGGACCAAGAGGCGAGAGCGGCGACCAGTAACAAGAAGCTACTAGGTTACTAGGTTGGAGGCCATCGCTAGTAGGTTGGAGGCCATCGCAAGTGGTTTGAAGGCCACCGCTAGTAGGTTGGAGGCCATCGCTAGTAGGTTGGAGGCCATTGCTACTAGTAACAAGAAGCTACTATATAGTAGCTCCATATGGGACCACTGTCCTATTTTGTCATCCTATTATTTCAACATCCTTTGTGCACGCTTCCCACGATGCTTTGTTTCCTGTTTCAGGCTCAGAACGCGCTTGAGAAGATTGTGAAGAAGAAGATTCAATTCACAGAAGCTGAGACCATTCAGCAGGCAAAACGATTGATTTCTCAGTTCAGTATGTGTTCGGTTTCTGTTCGCTCCATTTCAGGCGATTGGATGCCTTCAAGCCGTCATGGGTATGGACTTTAAGGAGCGATGTTGCTTTCAAGACTCAGTTGTTGAATGTGCAGCACAGACCAATTCCTGTAGGAAAAGACACAAAGACACAGACTGCTTGGATGCGAGTCTTACTGCTTAGTCATCTCATCATATTCGCAGTTTGCCTTCGTTCTCAAACCGCCGTGCTTCGTGCTTCGTGCGGGGGCGTTTGTACCGAGCCCTGTGTGGGAGGCTTCGGACATCGAAGTGGGCGTCGTGTCAAAGCGGCGGCGACCCAGACGCCCAACGGTCGACGCCCAACGGTCAACATGCGAGTTGATCGCCAAGTGTCACCAGTTGTTTCCACCGACGTGGTGTTTCCATCTCGTTCTACCGATTCCTCTTCCCGGCCAAAACGAGTGGCTCCCATGAGAATCACCCGTGCCAACCCCGTGTGGAGGTTTCCCACACGGTTCGGGTTGGGTCGTGTGAGGTCCAGGAAGGGATTCTTCCGGTTAACGGAGGCGGAGATTGATGCTCACCTGACAGCAACTTGGCAGCAGTCGAAGCCATCGCTAAAGGGTGAACGGCTCGAAGTGAACGGTAAAGCAGCCCGTTCGCCATCTAGGAGATTCCAAAGGTGAAGAGAATTGCCATGGTTTGTATATATCTACTTCGAGTGTTCATGAATAAGCAATCTTAAACACCGATGTTGACGAAGGGGGTATCCAGATGGTGCACACCGTCAGGCCATTGTGGAGAAGGACGCGTGAAGCGACTTCCCAAGATTCTGCTTGCCTCAGGATGAAATCCTGAGGCAAGCGTTTCTGTGACAGAGGCGAGACTGAATTCGAACCAAAAGCACCAAGCACCTCACAATCAGTCAGAAAAGAGATTTGATGGAACCATGACGAAGCAACAATTTTCAACATATTTCAACTGCAATGCTTCTGCAAGGTTGTTGGATCACAAGGAATTCTATCAACTCTGAAGCAGTTATGCAAACAAGAACATGATCCAAACAGGTCTGAAGCCTCAAAGCATGTAGAGACGCGACGCAATCCAGCACAGGCACGCACGCAAGACTGGCGGTAAAAAGGAGGGACTCGCCTGCAAGTTGAACTGAGCAGAAGGACCTTTTTGTGAGAACATGTTGAAGCCTGCACTTGTGCTAGCATTAGCTCACACTTGCTCGAAAGCGATCAGATCAGTGGAACAGCGATCAGTGGACTTCGTGCAGTAATACAGGGTGGGACCAAGGTGTGACATCCAGTAATTAGCGGATGTTCTGACGCTGGCCGCAACATGTGGTGGCCCGATTCATCACTTTCATGTGTGTTTCTGTATGAATCATGCATCATATGCATCAGCAGAGTCTGAGCTGAGCCTTGTTCTACACCGTTTAGCTGCTACTATTCTTTATTGGATTGTAATTAATTGTAATCCATACTGGAAAATGCTTTGACAAAAAGCAATGATACTGGCAGAGTCATGCAATCTTAGATGAATACTTGGTGCATCCGCTGCTGACTTTTGCAGCTCCTTTGTTCCTGATGCAGGAGGAGCATGGCCAATGATTTGGTTGCTCATAGGTTGAACACACCTGCCAAAGAGTGGCACTTGTGGCCCTTATGGCATTTAGTAGCAAGTAGGGTCAGCTGCAGTCACTCTCTTACTGCAGGGCTTGTTCTCCCCTGGTTTTGGTACTCCAATATGCCTATATGCAGATAAGGAACAGAAATCGCAGGCAAACAGGTCCTGCGCGGCAAAAAGTACATCTTCCGCCGCTTTCTCCTGCAAGGTTCCATCACCGAAAGAGTTGCAGATATACTTCTGGAATCTCACCCCGGTCGAACATGCAGGTGTTGTTGCATCAAGGATCTGGATGGGTGTTTTGTTATACATTAGGGATTTGTTTTGGGACTACAACTTAGACCAGCTTGTAGTCTCAAAGCAGATCCCTACTGTATAAATTGCATAATTGTATATTTCCATCATCATCAGCCAGAATGACGGGAATTTGGCCATGAACGCTGGTTGCCGCTCCACTGCAGGAGAGTCCTGAGGTTCGCAAGCTGACTGAGAAGGCACGTGGGAGGCAGCAGCTCCTTTGCCTGAAGAAGAGGTTTGTGGCTTTGAAGGAAAGACACGTTGGACTCACAGCCATATCAATGTCAAAACGGTTGAAGAAGCTCCTGAGGACTTTCTTGACTTTCAACATGATTGGGTGCAAAACATTGAGCCCTCCGCTTTTGACGTATCTCTCATGATGACAAGATGTTAAATGTAAATATGCCGCTCGCTTGTGAAATCGCCGTCGCATGAACACAACCGGTGCGTTTTGAATTCTTCTTCCACAGCAGATTCTCTATTCTCGCCTTTCTCAGATGCTAGCACTTGAGGTTCATATTTGACGGACGAACGGTCTACGAATGGGAGCAGTCCATGCACTGAGTGTGGGAGTGGGGTGACAGACCACTGCTGAAGCATGTTGAAGCATGTTGAAGCTGACCCATTCGATCCAAAATTGGAGCTGCTTTCCTAAGGAACCTGGATGAGACTCACATCTACATCCAACCACCTCCGGGAGTAACAAAGCGGCTTGACTTGACATTTGCAGTTGGTCACAGTGGGCCACACAGTTGGGGAAATGAACTTCCACGCTACACAGCTACACAGCTACTTTGTTGTCTATTGGGAGTGACTGGAGTTATGACCCATCGCCAAACCTACTCTCTTGTTACTCTCAGGCACGCTTTGGACATCAAAATTGAGCCTGGCCTCCAGCTGCAAATGGGCCCGTATTTGGGGAATTTATATTCAGAAAGATTGTCGACAATTCCAAAAAAGCCATCCTGTACTTGGAGCTGGACATGTCGAAACTTACGAATGCTTGATGCCTGCAGTCTGTTGCTAGACATGATAGGCCGAAAGAAGTGGCCATTTAGAGGCTGGTCGCTTAGTGCTTCACTCATTTTCTTCTAACTCTGACAGGCTCTAGCAACTCACCTGCTCAAACCAGTCAAACAATCTGCAGCTTGCTCTTGCAGTCCAACAAAAACCATCCGGACAGTTTGACGAGATGTCCATGTTGCCCCCGAAGCTCCTGTCTGACGAACTGAGTCATACGTTGGCACACCAAGTCCATCAAGCCTGAAAGATCATCTCACCTTGCCATCTAAGCGATCGCCAGTGCGATCGCCCCTGGCCATGCCTCGCGCAGACGCCCTCTCGCGCCTCGTGGGTGGGGATGAGCCCAACGAGCCGTCACTGGGATTCCGCCTTCGCCGCGCAGACGCAGCGGCAGAGTTCCTAGGAGCCTTGGTTGGGTCGGCCGTGATGCTGAGGACTTTCCACGACTATGCAGTACGCAGATTTACGCAGTATCGTGGATATTTTGGGTGAGTCTTCTGGACAGTCCAGAGCTTTTGAAGGTGCTTTGTAATCTTTTTTTTTGCAACTGCTTTTTGTTTTGTAAAGGTATCAGTCGACCGCACAGACTGAGAGAGAGGGAGAGGAGGGAGGGAGGGAGATAGGATAAGAAAGAGAGGGGAAGAGAAAAAGAGCAAGAGAGAGAGGGAGAGGAAGAGAAAGAGAGAGAAAGTGAAAGAGAGAGACAAAGAGAAAGAGAAAGACAGAGAGAAAGAGAAAGACAAAGAGAAAGACAAAGAGAAAGAGAAAGACAAAGAGAAAGAGAACGTGTTCGTTCGAGAGTCAGAATTCAGGGACATGAGAGACGACATGATCCAATGGATGCAGGTTAGCACGTGAATGGCCTCTTCAAACCAAGGAGCACTGTTGTTTAGTCTTCTGCGTGAGTGATAAGAAGCAAGCGTGGGTTGGTTGCAGGCCCCGGACACAATGGCTCTCGGTCTTCGTTCTTCAGTACCACCATCAAGTTCTTCCCTAAAACGCCAGAGCTGAAGGAGCAAGAGGTGGGGACGGTGGGGGGGCTGGGACTTTGAGCTTCAATTGGTCAGACACATACAGACCCACACGCAGGCTGTAGCATGTTGAAGTGGAAGAATACACTCCTATCATCTCCTATCTTTGCCTCCGGAAGACGTATCTCTTGGCCACTAAGTTCAGCTGTGATCAAGATCTGGGAGTCTGCAATCGGGTGCCTTGGCTGCGATGCTGAGGACAGCCACCCACAGGATATTGTGGTCTGCTTCATAGTAAACAGATAGAATTGTACTGTTTTGAGTCACCGCTGACCAACTCTCAATTCATGAATTCTGCGCAGTCGCACTCGATCCAGCGATCGACTACTGTATATTTCATGTATCATGTGGCCACTGAGGAGTGCGAAAAAAGGTTTGGAGATCGGCGGGCGGAGTTTGAGGAGCCCTGCAAGCTGGCTGTTGCTCAGCACTTTGAGGATGGACGTATTAAACAGTCGACAACGACGGACTGGCCGACTGGCATTTCTTCGACGCCCAGAGAGCCCTCTCATCGGAGATTGATTTTAGACAGACCTGTCTGACCTATTTGACCACCTGTGCAAGTTTCGTAGCATCCAGCATCCACATCCAAGCCACCGAGTTCGTCCTTGCAACGGAACTCCTTCGATTTTGCCCACGGTTTTGCGTATGAGTCGATTGACACACTGGCAGGCCGGATGCTTCCCGCCCTTCGCTCGAGTGGTTGAACGGAGTGGGGAGCTTTGGATCTCCCAGGTGCAGGTGGGGATCCACGAGATGTTGAGTCGTATTTGATCAAGAATATCCAGGAGGGTAAAATGGGTAGAAGGACTGACTGTACGAAATGTTCGCACCATCTCGCACCCCAGTCATGGAGGGATTCAGATGTTCCTGTGCACTGTGTGCATGCCAAAGGAAGGTGTCCAAAGATGTTGGATACCATCCCTTAGTATTTGAACTTTGCCGAGAGACTGCTCAGCCACCAGGTGGGACATGAGTTGAAGACCTCCGCCGGCTGGTCTCCCGTCATCGCTTGCTTGCATTCTGACGCCCAGGTAGGCTCCAGTCCGACTGTGATCGGTTGTGAAGAGAACTGAACGTGTGGTCATCGGGTTCACAGCAACCTTTTTTTTTGTCTTTCCCGCCTCCAACGCCTCCAAGTCACCGGCAGGTTGGGAGGGTGATTCTTTCACAAGATAGGGCACAAACACACAATAATTAACTACAATATTATTTACATATGCAGGCCAGAGAGGGATCGTTCTCAAGCTTTCGATGTCCAGAGAGTCTCCAGAGTGTGGTTTCGTTTCCAGTTTCGGGGACTGATTGAATAGAATGAATTGTGACTCGATCCGTCAAGGTTTCGATCCGTTTCAATAGCACAGACAATAGATTGAACACGAGACAAGAAGAGAAGTTGTCAGGAGAAGCAGGGTCATGGCAACCACCTTTATATAATCAGCTTTAGTAGGGACCTATTTGTACAAGATAGGGTAATTAAGGGTACAGATGACCATTCTCCTGCACTCGATCCTTTGAGTCTTGAAGCGATCTCGTGTGCTCTTTACCAGTCATGCCGTCTGCCGTCAGGGAACCTTCAAGTACTTCTCCTTGAACACTGCCAATGGAAATCTAAGCCTCACTGGAGACCACCTGCTGCGCGTACAGCGAGATGGACATTGGCAATGGCGTCGTGCCAAAGATGCGCAGCTTCGCTGACGGCTTTGGGGTGGCGCAGAGGGCGTGAACCACAATGTCAAATGAGCAACGTCATAAACCGACGCGTTAGCTGACAGGTTCTCACCTTTTGCCTCTATCTCCCCAGCTGTGGTTTCGCAATGTGCTGCATTGTTGAGTAATTAGAGTCGAGTGCCTTGCGTAAGCATTGGGCTGGTAAGGGTTTGTATTCTTTTTGCTGCGAATCGCCCAAGACCAATGAGGCGAGAAGGAGATTACTTGGAGGATCAAGAGGCCAGTGGGTTTGAGAGGCCAGATTGAAGGCTCAGATATGCTCAGATGCCTCCACACTGCTAGAGCTTCTTCAGTGTTCACCCACAGTGTTTCCCACTTCATTCATTTGCTTGTTTCCTTTCGAGATAAACTCACTTCCGGCCACACCGTCCAGTCACGGCTCGAGAGAGCAGCACTGCTTTGAAACGCACTTGAGCCGCGCTAAGAACCTCCCTGTTCATGTTTAGTAGTGGGCTTGTCATATGAATCCTTCGCGTAAGCAAAACTCTGATGTGCGTAAGGTTGCGTAAGCGTTTTTTGTGAGATGAAACTTGCGTAAGCCGCGTAAGCAAGTCGAAATTTAACATACATGTCACATGTATTATTGAAATGTTTGGAAATTCTATGGAGACCTTTGTTGATGAAGCCTTGCATTGGATCTTTTTCTTGGCAATTGGTATGGTCGAAGGTGATTGGCTCCACAGAAAGAAGGGTTCTTGGGGTTCCTGTAGTCATTTATATACTGGACATAGGCATCAGGACAGAGATTTTATGGGTCAACACATGCAAACATTACTCCTATAGCCATACAAACAACTCCCATAGCCATAAAGTCTACCAGCAGTTGTCAGACACACTATGTCACTATGCAGTTATCGGTTTTGGTGTCGGTAATACGCGTAAGGCGCGCGTAAGCTGCGCGTAAGCCCCCCTCTCTTTTGTAGACGGTGGCCCAGGATGCCTCCTAAAAAGGCAGGCTTTTTCTGACTTGCAATGGCGCCAAAGGCAAAGCATTGTCCAGACCATCTACGAAATCCTGGCTGCTCACTGCCCTACAGCCGCGGACGTAACAAACCTGCTGTGTGCTGTGCTTTGCTTGGAAAACAGATGGCGCGTAAGCTGGCGCTGTGGCCGGGTGCAAGATTGTGTTCGCGTAAGTGTTGCGTAAGCCCCTTTGTGTGCAAAGTGTGCGCGTAAGCTGCCATTGTGGTGGCGTAAGCCAGGCGTAAGCTGCTGCGTAAGGAAAGTCTTACGACATAGGCAGATGCCACACGTTTTGAGCACAGCTCACTTGTTTCTAATAGCGTCCTTGTTACTACTAGTAAGGCACTTGTTACGAACGTAGCGTGGCACTTGTTTCTAATAGCGACAACTCGTGAGACCTGGCAGGGCCAAGCGGTGAAGATCTTGAAGATCACTTGCCTCTCTTGGCAGGGCGCCTATGCACCTCTCACTCTCCATGGAGAGCTCATAGTTGACGGCCGGGACAGCTCGCTCTTAGTCGGGCAGTCCGTGTGGCCGGGGCAGGGGGGAGGTGGAGGTCAGGGTGGCTGATTAAGTCTTTGGAGACGCTAAAGACGGAGTTACTTGGATCCTGTGAAGTTCATTTACAAGCAGATTAAAGCTTCCGATGATTGAATTCATATTATACATTCCGCCATGAGTTGATATTGATGACTTGACTTGGGTGCGGTCCAAGCATGGACATGCCCAAACCCTTGTGCTAAGCTGCGCCGTTGCCCCCGGTCGACACCCATCTGGTGAAACACCAGGCTGGCGCTGCTCCTGTTTTGCGCCGCGCTGGGCCTTTTCCCATGACTGGTGCCAAGCTGCGCCACCTGGAAGAAATACCATGCACTCGTAGTGGGACCGGGATGCAGTTTAGACCTCCCAAGGCTAAGATGTTGTTTGAGATCACGCTCCACTTTGGCTGAAAATCATGCGATGTGCTGTATGAAAAATCATTGAGAATCATGAGGTTTGCCCCTCTGCGTGTGGCGCACACGGCAGCGCAGCAGATTCAGCTTTCCCAGGCTCCAAGCTTGAGCCGCTGCGCTGTTTGGGCGGAGCAAGCTATGGGAGTTCACCAGAATTTGCTACTAGTAGCGATGGCCTCCAACCTAGTAGCGTCCTTACTAGTAGCAAAGCACCCCATGTTTACTTGCCATGAACAATTCTGTGTCAACCTGCTTCACTTTGCCCAACAAGATGCCCTTTTGGCGCTGAACGAGACGATGGATGCGACACGACAAAGCAATCCTTTGTTCACAATTTTCACACCAGATCTCTGTCTTTCTAATGTATACACATCATTACACATCATGATATTTGACAAATAGGCATTCCATTTGAAGACGCATCACAGAGATGCAAACCCCAAGTTTGTTTTGAGTTCGTGGGTCGTTGAACAAGTAACTCTTACACTAATGTTCTATCCGTGAATTGATTCGTCGGAATTGACCTTGCAGGAAGGAAAGGACGACCTGGGCTATTCTGGTCGGCTGCTGGGGTCATTCTGGTCGGCTGCTGAAGACGTTTGGCTCTTCTATCATCAGGCTCCGAGGAGAGCCGTTTGAGCGGTCGAAGCAACGAATCTGAATAGTAGTGTCGAAGAGCAGCTTTGCCCAATTGCATTATATATTATTATAGTAAGTATATTTATATCTATAGATCGATAGATAGATAAATAGATAGATGGACAGATAATTTTAGATAGAATAGATCGAATAGACTAGAATAGAATAGACTAATATAATGGATAGATAAATAGATAGATGGCCAGATAATTAGATAAAATAGATCGAATAGAATAGAATAGAATAGACTAATATAATGGATAGACAGATGGATGGATGGATGGATGGATCAATAGATAGATAGACAGATAGATAGATATAGATAGATAGATGAATTGATAGAACAGATCGAATAGATGGAATAGATCGAATAGAATAGAATAGTTTATTTTTTAAATAGATAGCAGATAGATAGATAGGATAGATAGGATAGGTAGGATAGGTCGGATAGATAGGATAGATAGGATAGATAAATAGATAGATAGATGGATAGATAGATAGATACACAGGTGGATATATAGATAGATAGATGAACAGATAGATAGAATAAATCAAATAAATAGAATAGAATAATATAGATAATGGATAGATGATAGATGGATAGATAGACAGACAGACAGGCAGATAGATAGACTCAAGAAGAAATCCGCGAGTAGATAGAACTGTCGTTTAGGAAAAACCGATCCCAATTGTAACTGACTGTCTCCAGTATTCCCAGTTCCTTGATGGATGGCCTTGTACATCAACCATGTACATCCTGACATGTACATGCTGGCATTGCTTGGTGTTTCTGACATATAATACGTGTTGCTTTGGAGTGTATTGCCCTGTGTCAAAAGTTTGTCGTTCCTATTCGTTCCTTCCTACCTATTCCTCCAGTTATACTGTTTGGCTAGCGGCCAGCTTCAAATTTAGCACCAGCGACTTCCTCAAGCGACTCCTCCGCGACGTTGAGACCGTATGGCCCGAAGCCTTCGGGCCGCCTCTCGGCAGGTGCTTTGAGTCGATGACTCCGAGAACAAGACCCCAGCTCTTGCAGCATTGAGATGCGTTTCCGTTTCAAGGGGAATTAGCACCAAAGTTCGTTGGAGAGCAGTGTCCCAACCTGGGAATGCTTGCGAACTGGAGTTTGGGCCGAGACCTTTGTCTGTAGAATGTAATAGTTAGTACGTAGTAGTGGTGGTTATGTTGAGCAATGTTGAGCACAAGAGTTGGCTGCAAGAGTGATCAAAGAACTTGAACATGAATCACACGTATCATATAGTAAAACCTCTTTCTGTTCTATAGTGACAGTTCCTGTAGTTGATAGGACTCAACGTCATACCCTGAGAGAGATTCATTTCTTGGCCCATTGGCTTGAACTGGAGATCAGAGTCGACCGAGTCTATCGCTCGCTGGACGTGGAAAAAGAACAAACACAGATTGCAGTCACAGCATATTACAGCTGAAAACTGGGCAGTTTGTTATGATGAGCTTCGCGGTTGATGTTTCTACATGGGGCGGAATCCAAGGCCTAGGCATCTTCGTGTCGGGCTGAAGGGCAATCCTCCCTTCTTAAACGAAGAGGTTTTCAGCTTGGCTCGAGCCCAAGAAGCAAGCTCAATGGATAGCACATAGGTGCAGGTATACTTGAATACCCCTTTGATGCCAGCTGCAGAGCCCATAAACCACTGAGGTGAGAGAAAATGCCGTGCACACACACACACACATCAAAGAGTCCAAGAGAGGTCGTCGGAACAGCGTGTGAAAGCTAAGGTTGAGACCGATAGCTCCTTCTGGATGATAGAGGCACCGCGGAGATGTTGCACAGATGTTGCCAGCAAAACGAAGAAGGAAGATCTGAAGCCGTTGAGAGGTTGAGAGCCCGGCTGAAGAGGTTGACAAAGTAGTCAAACGAGTGGTCTTTCATGCCGAAACTGACGTAAACAGAACAACTTGGCGAAGCGAAAGCAGCCAGCCAGCGAAGGGAATCTCCCTTTAATCCACCAGAGATCTCCTGTGTCCTCATTCCACAAAGAAGATCAATGCCACAAAACAATGAGCATCAGTCAAAATCCACTCCAAAGTTTGCGATTGGATGTGGAACATTCGCATTCACATCTAACACATTCACACAGTGCCTTTCCACATGCGCATGTTTTGATCTCATCCGGAGGATGGCGAGCTGCACATCCAACTGCAAAAGGTCCACAAGGCGCGTCCAGCCCATGGTCTCTACTGACAGGCGCCAGGAAAGATGAACACCATGGAAAGACTATTTGGCAGAACTGGGAAGATTTCGGTATACTGTAGAACAATTCCAAGCTGTTGAAGGAAAGGGGGAAAGGGAAATCAGACCCTGACCTACATAATGTCATTAATATCTATAGATACAGTGATACTCCCGTAAAATGGGAGTGGTAACCTGACGCAAGGTTCTTGTCATCTCGTCACTTGACAGCCTGCCCCGAACTGGGCAGGGAGAAACGTGGCATTCGGCCTTGAAAGGCATGGGGGTCCGGAGTTCCAAATGGGTCGGCTGCATTTGATCGCATGTCGCATGGCATGGGTGGCAGAAGGAAGACCTTTGCAGTTCAGGCTCTTTGGCCTTTGCGTCTCTTGGGCCTTACAAGCTTAGTCTGTTTATCTTCTAGAACGTACACAGACAAGTGGACCGGTTTCGCTTCTGCGTGCCACGGGCATCTCCAGAATCGACAGGTCATGGTCAGTTGGACATGTTCTCCGAGCAGGAGATCAACAAAAAGCTCATGCTGGAAAGATTCCAGGACTGAGCATCAATTAGTCGACCTTGGACATTGTCTTTCTGCAACATGTTCCCAGAACTGATGAGATTTGGAGGAGGAACATCCTGGCTTTGACTTTTCGGGTGCGAGCTTCAGCGGACAGGCTCCTTCCGTGCCCTGGCTGCGAAGGACACATGCTTCCATAGTAGGCTTGCAAGCTGGATAGGCTGGGTGGCCGAAATCTAGGTAGACTAGGTGGCTGATAGTGGATGGGTTTGGGGGGAATTCAGATGGCTAGATAGGGTCAGGTCATTCCCCCATAACCTGCGCACTCGCGGCTGGTTGCACCATCCTGAGCAGTTGAGATTTACATCCCCATGTTCGGTGAGCTACCATTGTAGTTCGAAGAGTGTGATCAACCGCGATCAGCTGTTGCCTTCAAGCTGATTCAATCTGCATCACATCCTGAGGCTCGCACCTTCATGGGAGGCATTCATGCGGATCCGCAATCCCTTACATAGTCTTCAAGATGCTTCAAGGCTAGGCAAGTTACTACATAGACATCATAATCATACTGCATAAGGGAAAAACAGAGAGACATTTGCTTCATGTCGTCACGAAGTCTGGGCTTCTCTCGAAGTCTGGGCTATGCAAGAGACAAGAAATTTTTACAAGAGCCTTAGCCTTAGCCCGATATTGGGCGGCATGTCCCAGGAATTTGAGAAAGACCGCAAGCAACGAGTTTGTTGAGCGACAGCAGTGCTCGGCAAAAAGAGATCCAATGCTCGACGGCAGTGTGGGCGCACGGTTGGTGGAAACCGGAGAATCATCAGTTTGGAGCGAAAGCGATCTGTAGTAGAAGTATGTAATGGCATATGTAGGGTGCAGGGTGAACATCTTTGGCACAGAATAGTAACAACATTTAAACCGTTTGTAACGAACATGTTTGGTCTTTGTTTGTTTGTCATTATTCTTCTCTCAGGGTTTGGTGCCGCGGGGACTAACGCCGGCAGATCCTGAAAGATTCAATGGCATCATGACAGCGTTTGATGATATCATGAGGGGTTATCCAGCGCACTCTTGTAAACCACCCAGTCTGGCAAGGCCTGAACATGAGTGAACGCTTAGTGAACGCCCCAAATCCATAGTGCTGTGGTGAAACAACATACGCTAAACGCCGCGAAAAGCTCCAGCTTTTGAAGGAATGACTCCTGCCACCTGTTGGTACCATGGGATGTTACGTAAAGGAACTGGCAGGGCTTGTCAGCCTTCAACAGTGCTGTAGTGCACACTGATTGGACCCTGGGTTCTGCACTCCCTGAAATAAGCAGAGAAGTGGAAAATGGCCCCTTGGATGACCATTTTCCTTATGAACAGGTGGTTGTCCACTTGCATGTAGAGGATACCAAATCCATCCAAATCCTGCCTGCCTGTTTCAATCAAATAATGCACACACACTGCTGTCGCGATCCATTCTGGCAGATCCTCTTTTCGAGGGTGTGATTCGAGGGAGAGAAGTTTGTTTCTCAATTTTTTTCAGCATATCCACAGCATCCATGTGGGATTCTGCCCATCAACCTTATCAAGTTTGGTTGGGTTTAGTCAGTTTGGTCAGACTGCTCGTGAAGGAGTACTTCATGAGTCATGAGTTTTTGGCGTGGATTGCCAGACCAACGTCTCCCGAATCAAGGGAAATCAAAGGTCCAAAAATCATTTCCTCAATACTGTAGACTTTCGATTTAAAACCACTTCCATATGTGAAGAGGCTTTACAATCCAATGGGGGGTTATCCATCAAGAGTCACACATCACCTGGCCGAGTTCCTGGTAGCTGAGTTGTTTCCTCCTGTGTCCCAGGCGACCCAGTAGCTAAGTAGCCCTTACTGTAGCTGTTGAGGGTAGCCGATCTATGTCCAGTTGGTGGATCCCTCAGGGTAGGTCTCGTGAGCCTCGTGCAAGACTCTCATGTTGGGATGGGTGATGGGCTCAGACTTGCACGGCTCAAATGCAGGTTTGCAACCATTTTCAAGCCTAGCCCTGCCCAGCTCAAGCACATGCCAAGCCCAACTGCAAGTGCCAGGCTCTTCTTGGATCTGTAAACGTCCAGAACCTCTTTCATCTCATCAGTTTAGTTACAGTCCGCAATTCGGTTGTTCTCTACCAGCCTCACCTCCAAGCCTCCCAGAATCTGCCAAGACCCTACGGAGACGCCCCTCGCCATGGCGCGAGCCCTGCTCGAGCTGCTGGCGCCCAGAAAAGATAGCGCTCGTGGGGTCGATTGATGACGCCCCCCTTAGCCGAGACATTGCTATCGCATCCGGTGCCCAGAACTTTTGAGGATGGGAAGCTCACATTTCATCGTGCCTCGTTCAGAAAGTGTTTATTGAGGAATGGAGGTGGGAACCAGAGGCAGAGAAAAAGGAAGGATTCAGGCGGCCTTTGTTTCCGCGGGCACTGTAGACTGTGGTTTAGTGTTTGACCATTTTTAACAATCCAGAATCACGTTCCACAGGTTTAACGGTTTAGCCACTCACATACCTCTTCCATCCACCGGCCCAGGCTCCCCTGAGGGCTCCGCCACGCGGCAGAAGACGGGCAGCATTGAGCGCTTGGAGCGCTTCGAGCGCGCGCGCGACCGGAGTGCAAGCCGCAGCTCCTTGGGAAAGAAGGCCTCCCTGGCGGCGTCCCTGGCGAGCGAGGAAGGCGTGCGACCCATCCGCTCACAGTCCGCTCCCTCGATGTTCTTCCACAGTGATACACAGCTCCTTGGATGGTCAGGAGATGAGAAGAAAGCTGACGTTTTCCGCGCATGCCATGCATGTTGGTCGCCGATTTCTGGTCAAACGCCCGATTTGTGATCGTTATGATGCATAATGCGGAACCGCTCGAAAATACATCCAAATGGTTTGCTCCCACGGTTCCTTTTCAAGAATCGAAGAAAAGCATCTAAACGTTGATGTGTCTCAACATTGGAAGCCGATGCCTCAACACTAGACTATACTATACTTACAGTACTCAAAACCATGTCGCCCATGTCCAATATATTTTGAGTCAGACTAAAGATGAGTGGATGAAGAAAGAAGCTACTAGTAACAAGTGCCACGCTAGTAGTAACAGGTGCCACGCTAGTAGTAACAAGAAGCTAGTAGGAACAAGTGTATCGACAGACGTCCACGTATTGGACGTCGGTCCCGTGCGACGTCGCTCAGGCCCGAGAGCTTGTATCGCTTCCCCTCAGCTCCACAGAACAAGCGAGGAGCCAAAAGCTCCACTGACCTTGCCTCTTGGATGACGGATGGTGAGGGTGAAGAAACTTATACTGAAAGAGTTGGGCATTCCAAAAGAAATCAAAAGAACATGTACTGCAGCAGCTGCACTGCAGCATGCAAGATGACTGGTAGGTCCCACTACTTCTGGTAGTTCTCTTATCTTCCACGATCTCCAGCTATCTCCAGATGCATTGATCATTGATTCACCACCCCAGATCGAAGTGCAGCCCTTGACCGCCGCCGAGCTGAACCACTTGGGCCGCATTTTACAGGGCCAGTTTGGTCACTTGGAGGCGCCGGGCAGAGCAGCATGTCATGACGGGTTGGGCAGAGCATGTCAAGGACCCAACCCAGTAGATACAGTGGTGGTGCCCAAGCCGACAGCTTTGTGCTAGTTTGACGACAATGTGGGAATGCACCACACTTGGACATGCTGGGATATCCTCCTTTCTTTTCGGAATCGTTCATGTTCATTTGTTATGTGATTCCTCAAAGTTGTGCAGAGAAATCTCGGATCGGTGCGGCAGTGGCCATTGGTGCCAATGTTCCGTTGTTCCTGCCATCAAAGGTTCAGACCTCCAAACCTTTTAGAAAGGGCCTTGGAAACAAAACGCGATGGTCAAAGAAACACTTCACTGCACTGCTGGAGGATGAGGTCATGTTGGCACCTCCAACTCCAGCTCATGGCAACAGGAGCGCAGATGTGGATGGGGGCTTCAGACAATGAGAATTGTTCATGGACACACGTGGACACAGGTGCGATCAATATATTGTAGCAATAGCGAGTTATGTATTTATATATATGATATACTATGTGTGTGTTTTTTTTACTTTACTAGAATTGCAAATGTACAGTACATCCTTACATGTTGCATGTCGTTGACATGGGTTCTCTACACAGCACACGGCCACAGCCGTGGGTCGCCGTGGGTCGCCGTGGGGTCGCTGCGGTCGATGAAGCCAGGACTCCAACTCCAGCGCCGGAGGATTTTCCAGACTTGCATGCCGATGGGAAGAAGCAGGCATGTCAGTTGGGTGTGGTTCTATGGTCATACTGAAGGGATCTGAAGGGCAGGCAAGTGGTTCCGTGACATGAGGATGCCAATGATCAAAGGACGGGCCAAGCTAATGATCGTGCACTACTTTTGCATGCCATTCCATGATACTCCATGCTTTGCAACAACACAGCGTCACAGTGGGTTGCTTTTATTGCCCTGTCGCGCAACACTAACACTTTGTCTAATACAGTTGTGGTGCGGCACTTCATGAGATGACGGCACTCTCATGATGCTGGAACCGAATCAGATATAATCAGTGCAGATTATATTATCGACAGGGTGTCCTATTCGCATTTATCAACTTATCATGCCAAGTACATACCCTTCCCTCAGACCGCCGTCTTCGGAAGCAGTTCAGGGACCACTTTGTTGTTTTGGAGGGTCGTGCTCATCCTGTTCATTTTCTAGCCTTCTAGCGCAACCCCGTTGTTTCACATGTGACGCATCACAGCCTATCGTTGGCAGGGCTTCATCCACAGACTTGCCACCCGCCTGGGATAATGCCGACGGTGGAAATTCCAAAGGAAGATTGGACACAGTTTTGACAGACAATTTGGCTCTGTTGATTTGTGCAGGTCTATTGCTTTTGCTCCAACATTAATTAAAAACAACAAAGTTTTTGGGAAGGCAAAGCAATCCTCGTAACTTGGGGTGGCTATGGCGTGTTGCTTTCCTTCCCTTCGATCTACACCTTCAGAAAAGCCAGGCGTCCCTTTTCTTTATTCAAGTCCTAGATCGTAGTGGGCACCACCGGGCCTGAACGAGTTAAATTGCCAGAAAGAATGCCAGAAGAGATGCCAAAGTTAAATAGATTGTCAGAAAGAATGTCAGAATGTATGCCAAAAGAATGTCACAATAGACGCCAGGAATAATGTCAGAAAATATGCCAGATAGAATGCCGGAATATATGCCAGGTAGAATCCAAGATAGAATGTCAGAACGTAAGCCAGAAAAATGTCCGGCTGAATGTGAGAAAGAACGTCAGAATTTATGCTATGCAGATAGAATGCGAGAATATACGCCAGATAGAATGCCACAACATACGTATGCCTGATAGAATGCAAGAATAAATGCCATGATGGGGATCACTCGAAGTAACGTTATTTTTGGCAACTATTTTTTTATTTTGGTTCGGCAGTTGACGTGTCCTGGCACTAAAGTTTGGGGCGGCTGGAACCCACCGGTTTTTTTGTTGCACTGCTTGGCCTGGTATGGCCCATAGTACGCTGGCTTCACTCCCGGTGGCATGGGTACTGGACGACCAAGGTGTGTACACTCCCATGCCCTGTCGTGGGTAAACGACCCTTTGGACGGTTGGACGTTGAAACCCATGATCGACGTGCTTGGTACCCAGTATTGCACCCCTGTTGCGACGTGCTTGGACATTCTGCAAATGATCAACGCACTCAAGGCCTCATGGACATTTTGCCTGACAACCACCGGGTGTTCAGCAAGTGTTTGGCTGGGTGGTCGTTTGCCAGTCTTGCAAGAATGACTGAGCAGTGCTGAACCCATGCTGATCGAGGCTGACAGCCAATGCTTTGTCAGTGGATTCATGATCCTGACCATTTTCGCGCTCTTCGCGCCCGATTTGGATCTTCTCTTGGGAACGGTGCAGTCGCAACATTCTCTCAGCCGCATGGATTTACTTTGAGTCGGTGATGATGTCAGCTTGGGCAACTCTTTAGATTTTGGAAAAGACTCTTGCCTCAGAGGCCGTTTGCCGCTAATTGCTTACTTTATTCATGCTTGCATGGACTTGTTGTAACTCCATTGTTTGTCGCGTTGAAACTGCCAACCACATGACCAAGTCTGCAGCCATCCGTGTTAGGCCTGGTCATGACCTTCGCTTGCTTCTTGTTTGTGGTTGAGATCATTGTGCAGAGTATCGGCAAGGAGGGGTAGCTCGGTATGATAGTCGTGGTGGTCGTCGAGTGCCACGACCATGTGGCACCCTTGTTGGATCCCCAGACTCATTCATTCTAAGCAGCCAAACTGAGAACTGCATGTTTCTGAACTATGTCAAAAACAATGAAAACAACATCAGCTGCTTAAACTGTACCTACCAGGGTCCTGAGCAAATCCTTGGCTCTGTTCTTTGCCCGCTCCTATGTCATCGGAAGCGCCGTTCACTGTTCCTGGATGGCCCAAGGTATCTTTTCCGAGCCTATTTTTGGTTGGACGTCATTGCCCTCATCTCCTTGCTGCCGGATACATGGCTCTTCAGGGAAGTCTTCGAGAGCAACCAGGACCGCGGCGTGAATTCGGAGGAGAAAGCACGTCCCCATTGTCCAAACTGGACAATCATCATCTACAATATGGGCTCAAAAATACTCTGCATCATATTCCACATGGATCTACATTTCGCGTTCATGAAGGCCAAGTTATTTATGTCGAGCTCATGACAGTTGAACCGGAGACCCCTGACATCTCAAAAAGAAGTCTCGCTCCAGTCGGTGGGGGCCAAACTTGTTGCTGCACCATACAGTGATCCGTGACCTTTGATGCATGTGCCCTCACCCGAACAAAGATGAAATATGTCTAATTGATAAGTTCCAATTCCATGGATCAATGTATAGTAGTACAGTATAGTTATATATCATGTGTATATAGATATATAATGTAATACAATTCCCTCGGGATACCCGCCTTGAGTGCCCTTGAGGCCTTTGTTGCTGGGCGCTCCTCACGCCTGGCGCGGCTCTTGCGGATCGCCTCGCGGTCTTCCAAGGCGAGCGCCGACGCGCCGAGCGACGCCGATGCGACGGGACGTGCAACAGGTGGGCTGCGTCGGGAGAAGAGGCCAGAGATGGCCAGAGGTTTGGTTTGGTTCTTTCTTCCCCAATTGAGAGCCGCCAGAGTCTCCCTTTTTGTTCAGATTTCGTCAAGTTATCCTTTGAGGGAAACTTTGGAGATACCTGCCATTGCCTTTCAATTGGAGACCAAGACCTATTCTTAGGCCTGTTCATGCCTGCAATGCTTGAGTTCACGGTGCCAGGCAACACGGCTGAACCGCCTCACTCGCATCGTCCGGGTTGCGGCGCTCATGCCACGGCAACACGGCGTGAACACCAAAGTGGAAGAAGATGTGAAGAGAGAAAGGGGGAGAGGGCTCCAAATGCAGCCCCCAAGCAATTTGAGTTAAGTATTGGAGGTGATAGATTTTTGAGAGACATCCCTTTGATTAATGTGTATATATATTTATAGGTGAAAGGGGTGGTCTCAAAGCACTCAGAACCATGACTCCAGGGAAAAGGACCATGAATGCTCATAGTTTGAATGATACGAGACCGGACTAGCGGGTTGCCCAGACTTGATAGGGAAGGTGGATCAAAACATAATCACATATACTGCATGTGTATAAAAGCCGCATTCCTTGCAGAGTAGAACATTATGCTAAAACCAGTGCCCAAATCAGTGGATCCGGTGCTCCCTCCCTGTTGGAGTTGGATGAAACTTCAGCACCAAGGCTTGGGAAGATTTGCGCCTTGCTTGCAGAGAAAAAACAAACATCCGACTCAAAAGTAACCAGAAAGGGCCAGACTCCATACATCTCCAGACTGTTTTTATGGTCGACCTGTGGAGCCGTGAACGCCACCGTGTGCGAAGCCGGCCGCCGCCGGCGTGGTTCACGTCGTGTGCAGGTGCCAAACGGGTGAAGGTGAATGATACGAATCGGGTTCTTGACAAAAAGTCGGAGCCTGAGAGGTCGGTTAGGTCGGTTTTGGCTCCAAACACTGTGGCTCATTGTTGAAGCAGTTTATAATATAGTCCATAGTGACCGTCAAGTTCTCATAGTAGTTCAACAAGTGAGACATGTGTTGGTCTCTATAGCCTATAGGCGTTGATTGCAACGTGCACTTTCTATCGCATCCAGATGACTTAAAAAAACGACGCCTTTGGTTTTTGATCCAAGCAACGAACTGGTTGAGACTCGTCTTCGGGGTCTCATCCAGGTTGAGACGAGTCTTCAACTTCATCGACACCGATATGGATGGTCTCATCCCCCACATGGCCGTGCTGAGCGTGATCTCAAAGCTGAAGGCGGCCGGGCGATCCGAGACCGTGGCTCATCCGTCCAGAGGGACACCGTCCTCTGGTCCTCCCGAGTCGAAATCGGAAGGAGGAGCGACACTTTGGGACCCCAAACGGCTCCCCCCCCGGCTTCTGTAGAACTCACTGGGACCCAGACTGAGTGATCTGAGTGGCATTTTGAGCTGCCAGGGCAGTGCAGCTTGAACAGAGTGTGAGCACAAAGCCTTAGAGACTTTGCAAACCGACTTGTTTCGATGTCCTTCCATGTTCTAACAAACACGACATGTCCTTTTTGAGGGCACACGTGCATTGATCCATCATGCGATGTCCTTCTCCAGGCGGGTGGAAATGCGGATGAGAGCACGGCACTGGTGAATATGCTGAAGTCCAAGGCCCCCGGGAGTCGTCGACCCATTCTCGAGACTCCATGAAACCATCGGATTGTATATAGCAGAGGGATGGGGCAAGGAGGCTCTAACCGTGTCCTGCCTGTCCTGACACTTGGATGTGGTTTCCGTTTGTTTGAAGAAGTTGAATCATAAAATGATATAAAATGCAGTTATTCTTGTTTGAACATTTGCAAATCATATACATTATACACTTGAAAAGCAATATTTGTGTGCAGGGAGGCGTTCCACCCACCTTTTGATTTGCAAAGACAGAAGATCATGTTTGGGCATTTCATAGTGGCAACTGGCAACACTCAGCTGAAGAGCCGTAACTATGACAGACGGGTTGTAAAGTTTCAATCAATCTTGCTTTTGGCTCACAATCTGACAAGATTTCACAAGGGGTATGTTGATCAATGCCACTGTTCACTTTGGTAATGGTTCTGGGTTCGGGTGTCCACTTTCTCGAGACGCCGTGATGCTGCAAGCCTTTCACAGGTCGTCAACACTTTGGGCATCGCGCGGAAGGCGGGGATGGCACAGGTCGTATCTTCAGCACATGTGATTTTGATGGATTGGTTTCAAACCACTCCAACCAGCTCATCATATATTTGTCGTGTGCAATAACTTCTGGGTCGCAGATGTTAAATGTGCGATGTTAAGCCACCAAATATTGGCAAACCGGGTCAGCAATATAAGTATACCGAGCCTATGAGCGACAACTGCAGAAGACCGAGCATATGAGCGCGAAGAAGATGTTATCGCATAGGAGGGAAACCAGAAGCCATGCTGTTTGATACCAGGAGCAACACCTCAAATCATCATAGATAGGCAGCCTTCGATGTAAGATATGTAAGAGCACTCATAGGCTTTTCATGTTGGGTAGCTTTGCATCTCGAAAATTGAGCATCCTCTTCTGTGTGTTTGTATTTAAATTGGAAAATACGATAACACAGCAATAATCACATCTTTTGTTTGGGGTGTTTGAACCTATATATATATATATGCATGTTGGATTGGGACTGTGCAGAGCAATATTTAAACCTGAGAAGTGACACTCTCATTTTACATGACCAAGTCCCGTCTAGAATCTAGAACGTCGCCGACAAGGGTTGGGCGCCCAAGTGTATGATGGGCACTTGGGTGCTGTGGGACAACTCATGGTCTGTGAGTTGTCACAGGAACCCGTGGGGCGTGTTCGGCTTCTTATCATCAACACCAGCTGCTGGAGTCTCAAGAACTCGACACGTCTCCGCCAGACGCAAAAGTCTGAGCCTGCCACGATTCCGGCCATGCTGTCTGAGGGCACGAGGCGGGAAGATTCAGCTCGGAAAGCTGAAGTCCCCAAGTCCACAAAGTCGTATGACATTTATACTGTGTGTATATGTGTATATATATATATATGGTCACCCCCCCCAAATGTCTACCTCTTTTAGGCGTTTTTTGGTATTTGCGGTGTTTGATGCACATATTTAAGCCTGGTGGAGTCCATTTGTTCCTTTTGATTCTTGGAGTTGGACAGTCCACTTGATTCCCTGCGAGGTCCAAAACCTCCATCGACTTTGGCGCGCGGTCAAAGACTTCCCTGGAATTCCTCGCGGAGTCCCCTTGCCAATCTCAGAGTTCTGCAGGCCGAAGATTTGGACTTGGCAGTTGAAACCATTCAAACCAGGAACCCCAGACCTAATAGCAATGGCCTCCATCCTAATAGCGATGGCCTCCAACCTAATAGCGATGGCCTCCAACCTAATGGCGATGGCCTCCACCCTAACTACTTGCGATGGCCTCCAACCTGATAGCGATGGCCTCCAACCTAATAGCGATGGCCTCCACCCAAGTAGCAATGGCCTCCTAACTACTTGCGATGGCCTCCAACCTGATACTGTAGCGATGGCATGCGATGGCCTCCGACCTGAAAGCGATGGCCTCCAACCTAATAGCAACAGCCAAACCATGGTAGGGTGACATCCCTGCCATTTCACTTTGTCATACGTTGTTCATGTCCGGGAGTTCTTCCCGGGTCGCAGGAACCGGTTTTGACCCACAGGCCAAACATGTTTTTCTCGTGAGTGAGAGTGAGAGTGTATGTTTGCAGATTGACATTTCCAAACAATTGCAAACATAGTTTTTTGCCAAAGTGTGCATATTGTTATGTTCAAAGATGTTTGACCGCGCATGCGCAGCTTTCGCTGAATCTCCAAGAGATGCCAAACCTGTCTCAGAGAGCAATCACACAAGTCTCTTGGATGGACTAGCCGATTTGGCTGCCAGCGGCCAACGTTGGTAGCAGTGCAGTAAATGACAGTCAATTGACATTTTGGCATTTGCTGGACACTGTGTGTTTATACAAGCTCAATGTTCAAAAAGCTTGCCTCAGCTCAGGTCCAGGTCGCCGAAAGTTTCCACTCTCCAAAAGCCACACAAGTAACTTCCAAGCGAAGATGAAGGTGAGAAGAAGACAGTTCGGGAGTGGTTGTTTCATGACTTCCATAGCCATCCGGCCTGGGCGTTTGAAATGCCCAACTAGGTTCCAAACAAGATATTACTTGACAGAACAATCATGAACAATATTCTCTATATAGTTCCATGATGCGAATCATATGTATAATCTTCTGTTGCCACTGAGTTAGACCGACACAACCGACTCGTCACCCGACTCGTCTTGACCCACTCGTCACCCGACTCGTCGCGTCGCGCGAGTCCATGGCCTTTGCTGCCTCGTCGACTTCGCGGCAGAGCCCTGAGCAGCTTGAGGACGGTCGTCGTCGCCGTCGTTGGGTGCCGAAAAGAACGAATCACGAGTTGAGTTCGTTCGTTTTCAGGTGTTTTGAGAGTTTCGCTTTATTATAGAGTATATACAGAAGACGATCGGATGGACGTCCAGATTGTTCTCTTGGGATTGAGACGTCCGGCAACAGAATTGCTGAAGTGACCAATCCAGGAGGATTCTGAGGAGTTGATAGAGTTTGCGGCTCCTCTGGCGGCAAAACATGTTTTGCTGCCGCACAAGTATACACACAGAGTTCAAAGAGACCAAAAGAATCGGTGTGTAAAACTGTGTGGTTTTGTCCAGTCCCCGTCGTTTCAACCAATATGTCAAAAGAATACAAGTGTTCCTAAAGAGCATCCACTATTTGATGATGCCATGGTGCACTTGTCAGATCACTTTTTCCAACCCCTGGGTTTTCAATGGTTTCCATGTGTCTTTGCAATGTTTTCCCCTGCGGATTGAACCAATGAACATGGCCAATTGCCATTGGGGCCTTGGGGGCCTTGCAGGGCCACCTGGACACTTAGGATTTTAGAAAATTGATGCTTGCTGATGAGTGGGTGGCCTCGAGACTACGCTCTGCGTGTGAGCAACAGCTGAAACAGGTGGGCAGAAATTGCCAGGATTGCCTACAAAAGCTCGTCACCAAACACTAGTCCTGTGAGTTTCAGTTCTGCGAGAGAAGGATGTTTTGCAACTATCTTCCCCAACAGTGTGCTCACACTAGGGGTTCTTATGCTAATGGTTAAGGCTGGGTTTGACCCAGGGTGTTGACCCAGGGTGCTCATGGGCGGCGGCTATGGCTAATTCGCTGCTGTTTGCAGTACATTCATTCACCTCCAAATGTTCGAACTGCATTTTGACTGCGCAGAATTGCTGGCCGAATCCTTGTGTTTTGGTGGTCTGAAGTTGAGAGCCGTTTTACCTCGATGTGCACATTTCGTGGCAGACTCAGCGCTTTTGGTGTAGCTTGAATGCTTGGCAAGTGCAGTGAATTGGGGTCCTTGGACATGTGGCTCATTTTCAGACTTCGGGGGAAGTATCAAGTGAAAGCCACGTCTTGGCACCTTGATGTTGTCTTTGGAAGTGCTTTTGCTCAAAATGCCTTGGCAGGGCTGCGCTGCGAATCTTGATGCGCAGATTTCGTGGCAGGCGCAGGACTTTGTGAAGCTCCTCCAAGTGCAGATTTCAGCGCTTCCAAAATATGAAGTGCAGCCTGTTGCGACATCGAAATGCAGACTCTGCGGCAGGGGCAGACTTTGTCAGCCCCGAAGTGCTGGCAGGCGCAGCTTTTGTGAGAGGCACAGCCAAAAGCCTCAAAGCCCAGATGTCGTGGCAAGATATTTGATGTTTTTGAAAACGGACCGGAAATCAGCAAGGCATCGGCGATGTCGGTATTGCTACCCGAGTGATACTGCATTATTTACATCCTGTGTGCTTGCCCCTGTGGAGACCGACCGACCAAGACAGACAAACGCACAGTTTCCGTGCGGGCGGTTTCGACCGCGAAGCGGTGTGAATATGTGTTTTCATATTATGCGTGTTTCCATGTATGCAGTCTCACCATGTCTCACCTGTGTGTTTTGACATGTGCCCTCTCATGTGTGCATGTGCTCTCATATGTGTGTTCTCACATGTGGTCTTTGCTACTGGTCTGTGCGCTCTCACATATGCGCGCCCTCGTGCGCGCTCACATATTACACTCGTGTGTTCTCATGTGCGTGCTTCCGACTGCGGAAGTTCTCCTATTCACCTTAGGTTTGTTCTATTGAACACTGTTTGGGGTCTCTCGCCGGGATAACTGTTTCTATTTGTAGAACAGATTTTTGTATGGTTGAGGTCCATTTTCCATTTATGTGTTTTCATAATTCTGTTTTGAGGTGTGATGTGGACATGCGACTCTAATTCGTGTTTGTTTTCATTTGCTTTAATGAACAGTGTAGATCTCGGTGGTCGCCGTATCATTAAAAAACAAAATGCTAGATTGTCACAATTTTAGGACCTCTAACTCTACCCGCCCAGGGTCTTTTGCAACCGCAGATACAATTTTTATCGCCCACATTCACAGGGAGTTTTTGCAACGCTGCCTAGTAACATTGGTTAACAGTTGCAACAACAAGTTTTCTTTGATACACTGTGGACTGCACATGCACAAACAACAGGTAAACAGGGGAGGAAGAAACGGACAGAAACAGAAGAAGAGAAAGACGTGCAGAGATAGACTGAAAGATGTACGGCAAGCCCGAGGAACAACAGTGGACATACAAAACCAAGATGCAACCATTTTCATGCCCCCAACCTTTGAAATCACATGGAGAAAAATCACAATCAACACTCTTCACAGCAATCAGAATTGTTTGAACACACATCATACTGGTAGTTGGAACTGCACAAAACCATAGCATTTCTACAGCAATTCCAGAACCATAAAGAATCATAGATACATTACAACCAAACAAACACGTAAAATAAACAGTGTATATTGAGCCTCTGGCTGATAGCAAGCAAGATCAGATGGCCATGGGGCCGTGGTGTGTGTGTTCTTGGGGGCAAAGCTGTTTGTATTGCCATGGCTGTTTTTCCACTTGGTTGCATTCATATATGCCGCTTCAGTTTCACACATTATGGCTACAATGTGTAGTGACTGTTGCCGGCCATGTTGTTTCATGGAAGAATGAATCTAATCTCAAATTCAAGACCTCACTCAAGTCTTCCTGCTTTTGAGCTTTTGATGGACCATATCCTGTACCACCCCAAAAAACAGTTTGTTTCCACTGACACCCTCCGTGCAGGCAAGCAATATGAAAAATCTCACCTCAAGGCATGCAGAGTCCAAGCTGAAAAGTTATCGAGGCCAAAGTCGAAGTGACACGTGGTTTTGCTCAAATCGTGGCCGCTAAGTGCTGCAAACTACCAGTCACCGATGTATCATGCATCATTGAGAATATCAATTATCATCACCTGGGTGGGCTCGGAGTGTCCGATAGTCAGGCAGGGTAGCTGGCTTGGTTCAAGACTTGTGAGTTTCGGTGGGCCAGTTTCTTCATTTCAGTTCTGCCCTTGTTGGGAGATCCCTGGAGATCCGGTGTGAAGGCTGTGTGAGGTTCGGTGTTTGAAGGCGAACGACCGAACCTCGGAAGATGACTCGTCGCTCTTCACGACCGACGTGCTGAGGAGCATGTTGCGGTGAAGGTCGCTCTTGGTGTCCTCCTGCCACCCGACGGCTTACCAAAGGGTTCGAGTGGCTTAAAGTATGACACTAACGTGAGTCATTTCACCAAAGTCAGGGGGGGATGACGTTGAAGTAGCAAACCAAGTAGCAAACCAAGGTCACTCAAGTTTTGACTTGCTAAGCCTGGATGCTTGAGCGACAAGAATCAGTAGTTATTTGCAGATCACACTGCATTCCAAATCGGTAGAATGACCCTTCAACTCCGCAACAGAATGCGATTTGAGGCTGCTCTTTGTGCTGAACCTCATTGAACCATCACTCAACAACTCTTCACCATTGCGTGGCTTGCGCTTTTGCGACAAATTTGTGCCAAACTCAGGAAAAAGAGGTCAGAGTGGCAAGACAAGATGTTGCCGCGTGGTCGGTGGTTCATCTTCCTGCAACCAGGTGGTAAGTTTGCCTGGTACAGTAACATATTTAATGTATTTAAACATTGTTTGAATGCTTGGCCACCAAAGAGAAACAAGGTGTTGAGAATGTGGAGGCAACGAAAAGTAGGTGCTGCAACGCAAAAGCCACATAGGTGAGTGTCTCCTTCTCCACAGGGTGTTTGAGTGGACCAGGGTGCCCCGGCATCGTTTCACGCCGCGTGTGGGTGAACCCGTCGTCTCCAGGTGCGAAGCGAGTTCAATCTCACAGCGGAGGCTGAAGTACCTGAACTGGTCAAAGAGCAAGTTGAGGCCTGGATTTGGGAAGACCAGGAGAAACGACGAATGGATTTGTGTGTTTTCATATTTGGTTTGACAAGCTTAAGGATGGCAGAACAGTAATTCAGACATCATTTACTGCAAGTATGGTGATATGTCTCCTGCCCTTCATCTCTACGAAGTTCTGAAGGTCTTTGTATATATGTCTTTGTCAAGAGCGCCTTGAGAGTTAAATTGCTCCATGAGTTCATGGTGTTTTGTCCATGCTTCAGTCTCGCTAGTTGAAGCGTTCACGGTTTGCAGTGATCGCACAGCATTCGATTTCAGTGGCTCTCTTTTTCAATGGTTGTAGGATGTTGTAGGTCATTGAAGGGAAGCACGCAGTCAACTTGCAGTCAACTTACAACCCCAGCGCAGCCCTGAAGTTGAAAAAGAGGTCGCATGAGAGTAAGGAAGTCCCTAGGACAATTGGACATACATTAAGTGAACCACTTGGGATGGACGACTCCCCGTCCCTACGCCCCTTTGTGACGTGGACTGGGGCAGGGCTTTAAGAAGAACATGCAGTGGGCGAACGAACACCGGTTGCAAGAAACCTGGTGCATCCGATTACCAGAGCCGGTGTACTGGCCTATTTCAGTTCCTGGCCTATGACCGATCCTCAAGCTTTTGAGTTCGTCACTTTGCCGGACGTTTACCTCAGCGCAGGTCTGGCTAGACGCTGTTGGGAAGAGCATAGGCACAAGATCCTTGCTCTACCTGGATTTGGACAGAAAAGCCGGAGCCCTAGAGCCGCAAACACTTTGGAAACTGTGGATCTTGAATCTCACCTCGGTGTCGCTATTGGTTACTGTTCAAGTTGGCTTCAACCCGCACACATTTCCAGATGTTGAGTTCTGCGAGGGATGAGAACATCTACAGTATCGTTTGAGATTCTTTGGCTGGGCTTGCCCATCTGTCCCGCCACAACAGATTTCCGATGTCATAGCCAGGCAAGGCATGCAGTACCACATCTGGTTTCGTTCCACTGAATTCTGGTTCATTCTCCAAGACCAGCACAACGTCAGAATCGCCATGCATCGCCATGCATCGCCATGCATACCTGTGCCACCGTATACGCAAAGCATATAGAAAAAGAAACGGTAAGCCTTGCGTGAGGCGTATACCATATACGGGTTTGATTTCTCGCTCAGCTGGGTTCTGACCGCCCCGAGAACGCCGTTCCCGGCGCACGGCTGAACACCGGAGTCGACCGGAATGGGTGAGTGAGGTCTATTGCAGTGAGATTCCGGGGCACACAGGCGAAACAGCGAAGCTGCGATTTGGGAACCTGTCAGACCGGTTTATAGTCACGGTGTTGAGCGGTAAACGTGCTCCTTGTTTTTGGATTGCTTTACAGGCAAGATCGAGACTTACTGGCTTTAAAGCTTCCGAGAAGAGCTCCAAGAGTCACCATCCTGACGCGAAGCGCCAATGGCTGATTTTGTTTGAGGTGGTGAAAAAGGGCTTTGAACAGGATCAGACATGAGAGAGGTCATTAACCGAAGAAGCCAGCCTAGCTTGGACTGTAATAGAACAACTCACTCAATTCTCGAGAATTAATATGAATTAATCATCAATCCATCAGCATTGGTCCAGGTGGCGTGTTTCATTTTTTTTGGTTTTTTTCCACTGATGACGCCACCGACAGGCGGCCCTTGCAACAATGCCTCCCACTTTTTGGGCTCGCGGCGTGAGCTTCTCGTGCTGGACGGCGACCTCCGAAACACGGGCGTGAGGCCGGAGGTTCGTGGCCAACTGAAGATCCCACCATAGAAAGAAAATAAATTGGAGAAGATGTGGATCAATGGATTGGTTGAATATGATTTGATATAGGAAAAATCTCCAGGAAAGCATGGTTTTCACATCCAGGACTACGGGTTTCCTGTAAGTTCTCCCTTAAACTTAAACCAATTCTGGGAGTGTAGCATGAGCATTGGACTGGATGACAACTGGGACGGCTCTTGTGTGAGTTGTCTCCTTCGATTGAATCACATTGCAAGGTTTGGCGAGTTGGCACTGGCCACACTTTGGGTTTTGCCCCGAAGTGGGCCATGTTTTGTCAATGGAGCCAGCTTTGCTTGGTGAAGATCTTGTCGGATGTCAATGTTCACGTAAACGCTTCGCGGTTCCGACTGTGACGACAGCACCAGACATGGACGCGGACGGGTCACTTCGCTGGACATGGACGCGGTGGCTCCGCAGGCAGTCTGATTTGCTCTTGCTCCGAGTGCCAGTGGCTTCAGCTGCAGGGTGGCCGGCGGGCGAGCGACAGCCGGCCGCAGCCGCATGGGGTTGTCATGGCCACCGACCCCAGCAGGCAGTGTCCATTTGGACTGCTCAGAAAACTGGATGGGATGCTCCAGAAATCCAGTGAACCATGAGGATCATCATTGCTTGTCTTAATGATGCTTCTTCTGAGCAAGACATTTGTTGATAAACGCAATCTAAAGGCAGTTTCATGATGTTTCATGAATTTTCCCTTTTGGCCTACACTTCTTTAATCCTTTCTTGGAATTACCATGTTTGCACCAGGGCTCACACTTGCCAGATGAGCCCACGACCTCAGTTTGAATATGTTTGAATAAATATTCAAGCCTACAAAAAGCATAGTTCCAGCAGGGTCGTTTTCTTGAGCTACGCGAAAATGATAAACGTAGAAGCTGAAACAGGCCCTGCAACACAATGTTCCTCTTCAAACTAGTGGTTTGGCCAGAGTGGCGTGGCTGAGGACTTCTCTGATGAGGAGGTGTCACAAGAAGAGCTTGAGTCCGGATTCTCAATGGGTGCATGAAGGGGCATTATGAAATTATGACAATGGTTAAATATGGTGAAATCTTTGGCCCAGCATACCTTTTTCTCCACTTCCAACCCAAGAAACCTCCCATCATCCCTCCTTTACTTTACAAGTCTAGGATCATCATCATACTGATCCCAAAACTGTGGGTCACGGCGAGCGACACGATCATCATCAGTGGAAGTAGAACCCCCCTTTGAACGAAGTCAAGGCTTCTCAATGCTTCGCCGAGCTTCGCCAAGACTGAGAGCATCTGGGAGCCCTTACATTTGGGAGAAATCCCATCCATCCGGAAGTGAAATACCACCCTGGACCGTTTCCTGGAGCTATGTCCACTTTCTTCCAGTGCTCCGACCCGACCTGGCCCAGGCAGCGGACCACGGCCGTGGCCGTGCTCTTCGACCGGGTTCACAGCTCGGTGGAGGCGGCGGAAGAAGGGACAGACGGTGATCCATCGAAGGATTTGACGGCGTTTGGGGTGTGGAATTGTGACATCTAAGATGGATTTGCCATCTAAGATCTGAGACTTCGGGGGCATGTCGCTCCGTTGAAGCTGAGACTTTGGATGTTCAGTGAACTGCTTGGTGGACAGAACGACCCCAAAACGGCCCCAAACGGCCTCTGATCGTCCAAAAGGACCACGCCGTTCAAACCTGGAGCCCGACCAGTCCACCATGGGATGCGAACGACCTCATGCGGCTACATACCAGGTGACCAACCGTCCCCAATTCTCCCGCGCTGCTGAAGGGGCCTCTGTGAAAAATGGTTCAGACACGCGCACGAACTCGTATCGTAGGTAGGTAGGTCAAAGCAAGGTATCCTACTTGAGCAGTTTCACCTGGCTAGGCCTGGATGTCGATTCTGACCACTTCAGCCGTCGCTTGGTGGGCAAGCCTCGACCCATGAGACGAAGAAGGGAGTGAGGGAAGAAAGTTGAAAGGAGTGAACTGGGAAAACGAGTCACAGGGTCACAGAGCAAGTGCAGCAGATATGAGCATGTTTAGCTTTAAGATTGCATCTTTGGGCTTCTCCTTCCTTTAAACACCATCCAATGTGTTTCAGTGAACTCAACTCCAACAGAGATGCATCTTGAAACAGGTGGTGACTGAGCATCCCTTTGATGTGCCTGCCGTTTTGAGGTGATTTTTATCATTCTCTCTGGAATCGTCCTGCTGACACGGGACCTCACCTTCCTCTCACATCACCTGCTGAGGCTGCCGTTTTGTGGGGATAGCAAGTGATCAGTGATGATCAGTGTAACAACTGTACAGGTCCCAGGTGATTAACAACTGAAAGGAGTGCGTTTGGACGCCTCAATTAATCCAATGTTTGGGTCCAAATGAATAGACAGCTCACCTGATGTCCGAGGAACTACCGTCCCATCCACATTGGAAACTGCTGTTCCAACAGCCCGCCGAAGGAAGGCAATCATTGTCCAAACCCTTTCTGAACACGTCGATGTTGGTTCGGATAAAGGACAACTGAACAACCATTTACCATTTCTTAACCATTTCTTCTTCTGGCACATGGCACAGGCCGTTGCGAGATCTAGCTGATGAGATGGAAAGCATTGCGCAGCTCCAATTAGCTGGAGTCTCGAATACAGAGGAGGAAGAGGCCAGGTCCCGATGAAGTGCACTGTGGGTGTTCTCAGTGTATACAGGAGCATGCAACATCGGTTAAATGACATTTGTCCTTTCATCAGAAGGATGGCCAGCACCTAAGGCAGCACCTAACTAACATTTGCTCTTCCTCGACGGTCGCCGTGAGCACCAGTAGATGCTGGGAACTGGATCCGGAGGATTCCAGGCAGTGGGCACTTCCATAAGCCATCGCCTCCGGAGAGCACCGAAGCATGCGTTTGAGCATGTGCCAACCAAGTCGGCACCGTGACAGACCTTAAAAGGCATGAAGAGATGAGCTTGAACAGCTGAGTGATTTGGGTGATAGGTTGGTTTGGTGGGTTTGGTCGGTCCATGTGCCGGTCTCATTTGTTGCTTTTTTTGGTCCGTAGCACCGGCGGCCAGGTGGGTGGAGAAAAAGAGACGAGCGAGGTCCAGCTGATTCGCAGGAACACACGCTCGGGTGGGCAGATGTTCGCCGAGTCCTCCCTGCTGCGATGAACGCAACGGTGCCCTTCGTTGTGATCGGCTGGTGCCATGACTTGTAGTCTTGTAGTCTTGATGCACCGTCCCGGTGAGGCATGAGGTATTCAATATGCAATGGTAGATAATGGTAGTCATTGCTGATTCACACTGATTTGGTTCAGACTTGTTAGAGCTTGGTTCACTTCCAATGAACTGGGCGCGTGGGTGTGCCTGTGTGCGTGCGGCGCCGCGTGCGGGGCGTGGATGGCCGCGACTTCACCAGGACCTTTGGGAACATGAAGAAGGCAGTTCGCTCATGGGGAAAGTATGTCCCATGGCCAGCTCCCAGACGGCAGGTATTTTTGGAGAAGCGGCTGAAAGTCAGTCTGATCAGACATTCGAGTGTGGGTCAGAAGGTTGCAGTAGATGACCAGAAGATAGAATACACAACCATGGTGTTTTGCGGATTTGATTTATATAATTCTAACTGCTAGTCAGTTATGGTACGATTAACAACTATTGTTCTTTTGTTTATGGGTGTGTCTCAAAACAGAGAGAACCTTCCCGAATGCTCCATTGGAAGAGTTGGAGACGAGTGGATCTCAGATACTATGACCATGTCTCGACCCCGTAGATGTCAGTTGGTCGAAGCGGTTCGAGGTTGTGCAAACTCTTCTCCGAGCTGGAGATGAAGCCAAGTTGGAAGTGAGAGAAAGAGAGGCGGTCAAAGGGGTCATGAATTTGTCGTGGGGAAACAAGCAGGAACACAAGGGAAGGAAAGGAGTTTGTGAGTTTGAGTTCAACTTGTCAAAAGGGATTGGGGGGATTGAAGGTCAACCTAGCTGAACAGCGGCGCGGGGAAGTGTCGTGAAAGTTGGTTTCGTCCTGTGCTCGGAAGGGAAGGGAATGTGTCCATTTTCAATCGACGAGCTAAGATCTGTGCATCACGCTGTTGGCAGTATTCCAGGGTGGTGTACGCGGGGAAT